ATTAACTTGACTTGGGCTTTTTTCTTCGTATTTGGCTTTATGTTCAACTCCCTAAGTCACGAGTCAAACAAGGACATTTCAGCTTATATTCAATGAACTAAGCTTGAAAAAGCATTGATTTGTTCATTTGCTGCTCATTTTGGCTGTAGGGAATCAACTTGTGGGAAAACAACATCACTGGAACAATCCCCGTTTCCATGGGTAACATATCGTCTCTGAAGTTTATTCTCTTCGCAAAAAATATGCTAATAGGCTCCATTCCTGAGAGCATAGGAAGATTGGCTAATCTCAAGATTCTGCAAATGGAAGGAAACAACTTCACTGGGGAGCTTCCTCCCTCTTTCTTCAACCTCTCATCGCTCACTGGTGTTTACTTAGGATTCAATAACTTGGAAGGAACTCTTCCTTCATCAATGTTTGTCACATTGCCAAATATAAAGCATTTCCTGCTGAGCAGCAATCACTTTCATGGTTCAATTCCAGCCTCCATATCCAATGCATCTTATCTTATTGAACTTAACCTCTTAGGAAATGGATTCAGTGGAATCATACCCTCAAAGCTTGGAAATTCACAATATTTATGGTGGGTGGAGATTTCTTCAAATCAGCTAGAAGCTAATGAGGTCAGTGACTGGGATTTCATGGAGTCATTGACCAACTGTAGCAATTTAGAGGCACTTGGTCTGGTTGATAACAAACTAGGAGGTGTTCTTCCAACTTCTTTAGCAAATCTTTCTTCTGGGATTACTGTGCTCTCGATTGCTCAAAATCAGATCACAGGGAATCTTCCTGCTGGAATCAGCAACCTTGTCAATCTTACAATTTTTGAAGCTGAAAATAATATCTTGACAGGTTCTTTGCCACCCTCCATTGGTAGGCTTAAAAGCTTGCATAGGCTGACTTTGCAAGGAAACAAATTTAATGGCCAAATTCCTGACTCCCTGAGTAACCTTTTTGAGTTGAATCAGCTTTACTTGCAGAACAACATGTTTGGTGGAAGCATACCTTCCAGTTTTGGAAAGCTTGAGAACTTGCAAGAGCTGGATTTGTCTTGGAACAGATTCAGTGGTGAAATCCCCAAAGAAGTGCTCAGCCTTCAGTCTCTTTCAGTGCACCTTGACTTGTCAAATAATCTGCTTATAGGAAGTTTGCCAGCAGAAATTGGCAAACTAAAAAATCTGAATTGGTTTGCAGCTGCCAATAACAAGCTATCAGGTGAAATACCAATTAGTCTTGGAAATTGCCTGAGCATAGAATATCTGTTTCTGCAAGGCAATTCATTCCGAGGCGCCATTCCTCAGTCTTTGAGCTTCTTGAAAGGCCTGCGCGAATTAGATCTTTCACGCAACAATCTTGATCAGAATATTCCAATGTTTTTGGAGAATTTCAAGGTGCTCCAGCTTCTGAATCTATCATTCAATGAATTGAAAGGTGAAGTACCCGCAAATGGTGTCTTCAAGAACTCTACTGCAGTGTCACTGTATGGGAACAAGCAGCTGTGCGGAGGTGATAATAAGCTCCATTTGCCATTATGTGATCATGAGCATTATAGCAGTTCAAATGGAAAAAAACATCTAAAGCTTGCACTCAAGATAGTCATTCCAGTCATCGGTATTCTCTTATGTTTATCATTTGGTATATTTATTTTCATCATTTTATGTCATTCCAAACGCAAGCAGAAGAACCTCTCTTTCAATCCAGTGGAAGGTCAATTCAAAAGAACTTCATATGCTGAACTTCTAAAAGCAACAGATCAGTTCTCATCTTCTAATCTGATTGGAGTTGGGAGCTTTGGCTCTGTTTACAAAGGAATTATAGAACCTGGTGAAACTATTGTTGCTGTGAAGGTATTGAATCTAGAGCGAGAAGGTGCATTAAAGAGTTTCATGGCAGAATGCAAAGCATTGAGAGATATTCGGCATCGAAATCTTGTGAAGATATTGACAGTTTGCTCATCTATAGATTTCAGTGGGAATAGTTTCATAGCATTAGTACTTCAATACATGCCTAATGGAAGCTTGGACCAGTGGCTTCATCAAGGGGGATCAATTGCTGAAACAAATATGTTAAGCTTCCTCCAAAGATTGAGCATAGCAATTGATGTGGCTTCTGCACTTGATTATCTGCATAATCTTGGCCATGCACCCATTGTGCATTGCGATTTGAAGCCGAGCAATGTCCTTCTAGATGAGGAAATGAGGGCTCATTTGGGTGATTTTGGGTTAGCTAAGATTCTTCTTGACATAGATGAGAATCAAGCTGCATCCATTGGGATAAAAGGGACCATTGGATATGTTCCTCCAGGTGTGTTTTCCAATACTCTCGGCAGCTCAAGTTTGATAATTTAGTAGCTAGCTTAATTTGAGTTAATATGAATGGTCTATTTGAAATGAAAAAAAAAAAAAAAGATTAATCACCACTTACTAAAGATATGCTATTACTGATATTCTTAGATTTGTCATATTAAAAATTTATGTTGAATTCTATTAACAGTTCACTTTTATTACTTTATTTATGCTAACAACAACAACAACATCAAACTTTTATCCCACTACAAGAGCATGGGCGGAACCATGCTTAGTTCTCAGGGGCCAAGTGACAAATTTATAAAAAAAATAAGAATATATATGAGGGTGCAAAAATAAATTATTTTGCACATAACCGTTTTTCACAGACTCGTTTATCGGTGTTAGAAAATTTTAACGTAATTGAATGAAAATAACAGATGGCCAAGAGGATTTCTGATTTTTGGAGGGGCAAATTGCCCCCCTCCCCCCTCACCACTACACAGTTCCGCCCTTGTAAAGGAGGATGACCATATCAATCCTTTTATGCTAACTTGTTAATGAATTCCATAAATATAAATATATTTATTCAAAGAATTCAGAATTATGCAACATCTAACTTATTATAGGATAAAATCTTGCAGAGTATGGAATGGGAAGTAAAACTTCTCCTCAAGGAGATGTATACAGCTATGGAATAATGTTGCTTGAGCTGTTCACAAGAAGAAGGCCAACAGATGAAATATTTAAGCATGATCTAAGTCTAAGGGATTATGCAGAGAGCTCAGATATTGATAATCTCATGGAGATCATTGATCCATGCCTTATATCAGAAGCTCAAAACAGAGTTCAGGACAACAGGTTTGATATGCTTGAGGAACTCAAATGCTTAGATTCAGTTATAAAAATAGGTCTTTTATGTTCTTTGGATGATCCAAAGCAGCGTATGGAAGTAGTAGATGTGATAAATCAACTGAATGTAATTAGAAAGACACTTGAAAACATATTGAATCTCTAAATGTATGAAAAAGATGAAGTTTTGATTATGAAATGGAAATGTATCAGTGAATAAGGCATGAAAGTTATTAAAAGTATTTAACTTTCATAGCAATTTTTCTGAATTCCTCTTGTTAGATGAATCACTTGTGGCTTCACTTGAAAAAAGGTCGTTTGTAATTGTATAATTAAGCAAAGAAGCTTGAACTTTTTTTTTTTAATACTCGATGTCTGAATAAACAAGTGTTGATCTCCGGATTATAGCCAAAAGAAACAAAAATGAGAAGAATACACAACATACCTATACAGAATCTTTGCCCGAAATCGTGAGAAATCACGCTAAAATACTGTGTACGCGGTGCCGTCTGAGTCCCATCCAGCGATTCCTGCTCAAATCTCGCAAATCCACTCCATTTCTTCGCACCAATACGACTATTAAAGAAGCAATGAATGGAGGAGTTCAATTCCTCCTACGCGCGCGAGAGCGAATTCCTGACGCCAAACTCCATTCGTTTCTTTTGATCTTCAAAGCCGACGCCAACCTCATAGCAGCCAACGCCCCTTTCTCCTTGCTCTTCCTTGTACCGATCTCCTTTGCCCTTGCACTTAACCTGAGCCCGATTCCCCACACCCGAACGACACCAGTGTTCATCCCGACTCCTCTGTCCCTACTGCAAGCCACGAACTTGCCTTCCAAATCTTGCAATCGGAACCCCTAGACCCGCCGAAGTCCACTGCCGTCAACCTTCCTCCTACCCTAGCCGACCTCCCTAGCTGCGTCGACCTTCTTCGACGACATTCCCCTTCTATCGGTTCGGAAGTTGCGACTTTTTGATCGCAAGCAACGACGAAGTTCGCTTGCTCTGAAGGTAACTTTCTCCCCTTACACGCGCTTCTTCGTCTGAGTCCCCTAAATTAAACAGGGGAACAGAGGATTTAGTTCTCCATGAGATTTTACTCTTCCATGAGTCATGTGATTAGGATTCAATGTAAATCCTTATTAAATTCTGCATAAATCCTGCCTGTATGAATCCTGTAACAGAAATTCTGCTAAGATTTTATTTTGAGTATAATTAATTATGATTAATTATGATTTTAATTATTTATAGTTAATTTTAAATTAAATATATTTAATTATAATTAGTTTGTAATTAATTATAAATCAAAACAGTTGATTTATAATTAATTTTAAATTAAAAATAATTAATTATAGATTAAAATATAATTAATTATGATTAGTTTTATAATTAATTGTAAATTAAATATATTTAATTAATAATTAATTTTATTTAATTATGAATTAAATATAATTAATTATAAATTAAGTCCATTTGATTTGTAACTAGTTATGAATTAAATATAATTAATTATATATTACATATAATTAATTATAAATATCACGTAAATTTAAACATCTAAGATCTCAATGTATACACTATACATGCATAACATGCAATTATGCTCACCATTGCATAGTTATCATCTCTTAGCATCCTCATCATGCAAGCAAAAGCCTGCACATGCTATGCATGTGCAATCATACTCTAAGATCAGTAATCATATGGCATATGCTATATGCGATCAGATCATAAATACACATTCCATTCTATCTAATCAATTCTACCGTACAATGATCAACATGCAAATTTAATTTCAATGTGCTTCGTTCTAGCTTGAAATACATGGTTTTTTGGCAAGTACAATAACCGAGACGTTGTCTCAATGAATAACTGTTGGAGAATGCTGAGGAATCTGGAGCTCGGAGGCAAGACAGTGGAGCCAGATGACGTCTGAAGTGGCTGAGGACAATGATCTGTATTCAGCTTCTGCTGAAGATTTTTCTACCGTAACTTGCTTCTTAATAGTCCAGGATACGAGATTGGGTCCTAGGAAGGTGCAATAGCCTGAGATGAACTTATGATCATTGGAGTCCGAAGCCCAGTCCGCATCAGCATAAGTTTTGAGTTGAAGATCACCGGAGAATAGAGGGAGGCTGAAGTGTATTATGCCTTTGATATAGCGTATAAGTCTTTTGAGGGCTTGAAAGCCTCGAGTTGTAGGATTATGCATATGTTGGCATATGGAGTTGGTAGCAAAATCGATGTCTGGACGAGTGATGGAGAGATATTGAAGTGAGCCGGTAAGTTTACGGTAGAGTTTTGGATCGGAGAATGGTTGAGTTGATCTGTTACAATGGCTGGATTTAGGAGTGATAGGAGTTGAGGCCAGCTTGCAGTCTGTGAACCCCGCAGTTCGTAGAAGCTTGGAGGCGTAGTAGGTCTGGTTTAGGGAGAAGCCGGAGGACTTTCAATGAACCTGTATTCCAAGGAATAAGGAGATATTTCCGAGTTGTTTGATCAAGAAATGAGATTTCAACTGATTGAGAAGAGATTGAATGGTTGGTTAATCGTTCCCTGTAACAAGAATTTCATCAACATAGATTAATAAGTAGATTTGAATGAGTGAGCAATGAAATATAAGTAAGGAGGGATCAGAACGACTAAAACCGAAGCCGAATGTCTAAAGAAAGTTGGTGAGCTTTTGGAACCATTGCCTGGGAGTTTGTTTGGGCCCTTAAAGTGAGTTTTGGAGTTTGCAGGCATGATTAAGAAAGTGAGCATCAACAAACCTGATAGGTTGTCGCATGAAGACAGTGTCCGGGAGATCTTCATGGAGAAAAGTATTAGAGACATCTAGCTGAAGCATCGACCAATTGCGTTGTAAAGCTAATGTAAGAAGTATGCGGATGGTTGGCATTTTGGTCTCGGGACTGAATGTTTCAGTATAGTTGGTGTGGTGTTGTTGATTGTAACCTTAAGCAACCAAATGAGGTTTGTAGCGGTCCAATTGACCATTTGGTATACATTTTGTCTTGAATGCCCATTTGCAGCCTAGAATAGGGGTATTGGGTGGAGGAGGCACAAGCGACCGGGTGGCTTGTTTTTGAAGAGCTAGAAACTCCTCAAACATAGCGAGACACCAATGTTGGAATTTGATAGCTTGAGAATAGGTGGTATGAGTGGTTTGAGTCTGGGTGTTGGCCGAGAGAGTGAAGATCTGCTTTGGTTTGCAAATTTCTGATTTTAATCAAGTTTGCATGGGATGAGTTGGTATGTTAGTTGAAGGAGCCATAGGAAAAATGGAGGTGGAGACAGGAATGGAGTGAGAGCTGGGAGGGGAAGATGAATAAGGCTGAGTGGGAGAAGTGAGATAATTAAGTTTGGGATAGGATATAGTTGATTCGGGTAAGGGGACAGGAATGGAATGGGGTTTAAGAAGAGATGGTGAGATAGATTGGTTGTGAGATAGGGATGATGTTGTAGATTGAGTTGCAGACAATTTGTAGGGACAAATGTGCTCATGGAAAACTAAATGTCGGGAGAATTGAATTTTACCTGAGAGAAGATTGAAACACTTGTAGCCTTTATATGATGACGAATATCCTAAAAAGATGCATTCTTGAGATATAGGGGATAATTTGTCAGGAGCATAGGGATGTAGCCAAGGAAAGCATAGGCAGCCGAAAATACGAAATGTGAGTAAGTTGGAAGTTTGCCGTGAAGTTTTTGATATGGTGTTTAAAGAGATATAGTTGTTGAGGGAAGCCTGTTTATGAGATAGTTGGCTGTGGATAGCGACTCCGCCAGAATTTATGAGAGAGATTGGAGGCATGCAACAAGGTGTGAGTAAGGTCGAGAAGATGGCGATGCTTGAACACAGCAGTGCCGTTTTGTTCAGTGGTGTGAGGGCAACATAATTGGTGAATTATTCCATATTCATGGAGGTAGTTTTTGAACTCATTACTAGTGAATTCACTGCCCCCATCAGATTGAAATATTCGAGTCTTGGTATGGAATCGATTTCTAATAAAATTGAAAAATTGTTTGAATTTCAAAAAGTTTTCCTGTTTGGAATGCATAAAGTATAACCAAGAATGTAAAGAGAAATCATCTATGAAAATTACATAATATTTGAAACCATCTAAAATTTGTTGTGGGGCGGGACCCCAGTAATCATAATGAATGAGACTGAACGGTTAAGAAGAAACAATACAGCTTTATTAAAAGGTAGTTTGTGACTTTTAGCCACATTACAACATGTACATGTGTATGAAGAAAGTAAAGAAGGAATGTCAGAAACTTGTTTAGCTAAAGAAGAAAGAGATCTATGGTGAGGGTGGCCAAGTCTCATGTACCAGAGATGTGTGGATGAAGGATAGGCATGAAGTGCAGTTGGCGTAGTCGTGGATGGTAGCTGAAAGTGGTACAAGCCATTATGAAGATGCCATGAAGAAGCGGTCGATTGTCCTGACTGTCCTCGATGAAAAACCCGTTAGCATCAAAATAAATGGAAACAAAGTTGTAGGAGGTGAGTTATGAAACATAAATTAAATTGTGTATGAGAGAGGGAACATGAAGAAGTTGTGTAGGCGAAGCTTATGAGCCATATCCAGGAGCGGAAGCAAGCCTTGTCCTGAATGTTGAATAGGTAATGATGTACCGTTGGCTATGGACACGGTATCTGCACCTTGAGATTGAGTCGATTGATAAAGATTGTTGTTATCCGGGGTAAGATGATAGGAAGCGCCAGAATCAAGAACCCAGCCTTGCGTGGTTGTAGGCGATGACCGAGCCATCATTGCACAGGATGGTTAAAGAGAAGTGGGAGCGTACTTAAAATTACATCGATGCCAGCAGTTTAGAGCAATGTGACCGATTTTCCTGCAAATTTGGCATGTGGGATGGTCTGAAGAAGTATTTGGAGAGTTCGATGGTGGCGGAAGTGAAGGAGAAGACTGAGACGAATTGTTCTTTGTTTTAAAGAACCAGTGCTAACAATGACCTCGAGTGGAATTGGGGTTGTTCATGTAGAGAGCAATAGAGCCGGATGAATAATTAGATTCTTGAAGCTGTTCTGGTTGTATGTTGATCTCTTCACTACATAAGAGTTAATAGAGAGTGTGAAGATCAATGGGTTGAAGGAATGTGCGTATGGAGGATTTATTGTATATGAGCGGGATGCCGTTAAGAATGTATAGGATAATGTCCTCCATGTCTAGCTTGGAGCCGGAAGCAGCAATGCTGTCCACAATGGTTTTGATTTGAGAAAGATATTGTTGCATAGAAGAGTTTTTCATTTTTATGGAGTGAAGTTTGTTTTTGAGTTGGATAACTCGAGAAAGATTTGTAGGTTGTAGGCGACGTTTAAGAATTGCCCACATCTCATGAGCGGTGTTGGAAGACAAGACATAGGGAAGGATCGAGGGGGAAATAGTGGAAAAGAAAGCGGAGATGAGATTACTGTCGATCAGTCGCTAAAGGTTGTAGTCGGGGCTGTTCTTGTCGAATGGAATGGAATCATCGCCTGTGAGGTGGCCGGCGAACCCATTCGCCGTGAAATGCTGAAGCAATTGGAGACGCCAAATCTGATAGGATTCGGAGGTGAGCTGAGTGGTGACAAGATTTTTGATGTTAGAAATAAAAAAATTTAGAGACGTAGGTATAACAAACGTGGAGAGGGAGGAAGAAAGAGTAGACGAAGGTCATTAGCGAGATTCTTGAACGGATTCTTGATCCCCCATGTCTCTCTGATACCATGTGAGAAAGTGACGAGCGCAGAGAACGAAAGGAAAAGAGAAGGAAAACAAAACAGTAAAAGATTGTACTATTCATATGTAAAGCAGTGTACATGCGAGTATATAATTATATGTAGAGCTAAAGTAACAATGGGTCTTTAATAATATATGCACATATATTGTGAGATACATATAGATAGATAAACACACAAATATAAATATACATGAATGCATATATATATATATATATATATATATAATAGGAAAGTTTGTTTAGTACAAGTTTTTAGAGTAAAGGATATTTTTAGGATTAATATTAAGCTGATATATTTTTCAATTGTTCATGAAAATATTAACAAAATATATTGAAACTATGTTTCTTAGTGAATAAGAGTTTTGAAAGATGTACTTTTGATGGATGAGATCCCTTTGGACATAAGTGAGATGTTTTAAGATCATTGATGCTTGTTATTACAAAAGTCCAACCCATTGCCTGAAGATAATGCCGTTGCTGAGGATACCGGGCGGATCAGCTTAGTAACCAAGAAGCGATTCAACAAACAGCTCTATGCCGAGCGTGAATCTTTCATAGCTGTTTTTGACAGAAGGCGTCTGAGAGTTGGTGGTCCATTTCATGCCGACGACGAGTAGCACAAAGATCTGGAACCACTGCAGATGATTAACAGGTTACATTAATCTCAAAATTCCTCCTCTCCAAGCTCTGAGCTTTCAATGATGCGCTAGTACTGTATAGCCGCCTTTGACCACAAATGTAAAATTATCATTTTTTAATTATATTAAAATATTTTATTTAAATCTTAACAATAATTTAATATAATTATTTTAAAATAACACTAATGCATATGTTATAATTAATTTAACAATTTTAGAATTTCTACTAATTAAATATATTTTTTAACTTTATTCCTTATGAAACTTAATAGTCATATCATGATAAAAATAAATAAATTAATTAGTTATTCATTCTAAATTGCATTCATCCAAATAATAATAATAATAATTGTTTAAATTAAATGGCCACAGAAAAAAAAATTAAATCAAATTTAATATGCTAAAAAATAAATTATTTTTTATTTGATTAAATCTTGATTTAAATTGTTCGTCAAGGTCAATAAAAAAATAAAAAAAATGTTCGCCAAAGTCAATAACATGCCATCTAGGTTTCTCATCCGGAAAGTGAGCACGAACTCGTCCCACTATAAAAGAGCACGAGCCGGAGCCGCTCGATTTCTCATCCGTCTGATTCTTTATTTTTCCCACCCAGTTCTCATATTCCCGCCTGTGAATGTCGTTTCCATCTGAATGGAAAGTTCTCATTTTCCGCCATTTGGATCCCATATTTCAAAATTAGGACAATTTTCATTAATGAAAAGATGCCTTCATTTGAAATGAGGTAATGAAAATAAACTATATGAATTAACTTAAAAAGCAAACATTTGGATATCATATTTTCTACATTAATGAAAACGTGTTGATGGAAATTTAATATACATGCGTTAAATTATTATTAATTTTGTTAAAAATACCTTAAAGTATAATAATTTCTCTTATGCTGTACCGTGAAACTATGCCATTTGTTGCCTCCAGAGTTGTCAACGAGTTCAATATTGTTTTTGCCTGGCAGACCCTATTTTTTAGGCTTAGAACAATGATAATTAGCTAATAATTGAAGCAAGCAGGTTTCTTCTTCCCCCCTACAATATATATAAATGGACCGCAAACTGAAGTAAAAAGCCTCCATTGTTGTTGTTGAGCTCATCCTTCTTCCCAATGAATCTCATCACTCCCTCCATCATCATCTTCTTCTTCTTCTTCTTTCTCTGCAACTCATCACCCTCCCATTCTCCTCAAACCACCGCTTCCATCGACCAACTCGCTCTCCTTCACTTCAAATCCCTTCTCACTGACCCCACCAACTCTCTCTCCTCATGGAACTCCTCCCTCCATTTCTGTCAATGGCAAGGAGTCAATTGCAGCATTACTGGCCGAGTCACAAGACTCAGACTCATCTCGCTTCAGCTCGCTGGTCCCATTTCACCAAGCATTTGCAATCTTACCTTCCTCGAATCGCTTGAGCTTGTCGATAACAATCTCATTGGCACTATTCCGGCCGAGATTGACCGACTTTCCAATCTCGTGAATCTAACCCTGAAGTTGAATTATCTCACCGGCGAGATTCCGACGAGTATTGTTCGTTGTTCGAATCTGCAGTTTGTTCATTTGAGGAGTAATTTGTTTACAGGCGAAATCCCTAGGGAGATCGGCTTGATGTCTAATTTGCAGGTATGGCTTTATGTGTTCCAATGATTTTGTTTTTTGTTTGAATGGGATAAAAGCTAGATTATATATTACAAGAAATTTCGTATGCGAGAAAAATAAGAAGTATTAAATCATAACAATAGTAACATCAAGCCTTCATCACACTACATGAACTTTTCTCTTGGTTTAGTAGGAGCCTCCTGCCATTTCTTGAGTTCGACAGGTTCATGGCCTTCTTGACTGATTTTTGATTAATTTTGCTGTCGACAAATTCTGTAATTTTGGATTATTTTTTCTTTGCAAACTTTCGTTAATTTGGGTGATTATAGCTTTGTAAATTTTTATTTTAGCCCATTTTGGGCCTTTGTTTATAATTTCTTTTTTGAGCTAATGAAATTTGGCCTAGTTCCAAAAAAAAAGGACCTCTCAACTGCAATGATAAAATTTAATTTAATGTTTATGCTTCATTAGTCAAGACTATTTAATACATCTTAAAATTTAATTTCAATATATTTACAAAACTTGTATGTCTTGATAATTAATTAATTATTTTAAAATTTTTTATGCCTACAAATAGTGATCAAATGGTTAAAAAAATTTGAAATCATTTATGCCACTATCCTATGCATTAGGATATGTTTTTATATAAAAAATTTAAATTTCTAGTCTTTTTTTTTTAATATTTAAAAATTATTTTTATTAATGTATCTTTTAAACAAAAAAAAGGTAAATGGCTCTTTTTAAAAAGCCTTTTAAGTGGTCCAAAAAAATAAACCCGCTTGTACCGACAGATGCCAATTTTTTTTATATTTTTGTGCATCACTAAGACTTAAGATATAATCTCTATCTTCTCAAATTTTATAGCAGACAACAATCTTTGAATACTATTAACTGACTTTGGCTTTTTTCTTCACATTTGGCTTTATGTTCAACTCCCTAAGTCACGAGTCAAACAAGAACATTTCAGCTTATATTCAAAGAACTAAGCTAAAAAAAGCGCTGATTTGTTCATTTGCTGCTCATTTTGACTGTAGGGAATCAACTTGTGGGAAAACAACATCACTGGAACAATCCCCGTTTCCATTGGTAACATATCGTCTCTAAAGTTTATTGACTTCACTGAAAATATGCTGGTAGGCTCCATTCCTGAGAGCATAGGAAGATTGCCTAATCTCCAGATTCTGGAAATGGAAGGAAACAAGTTCACTGGGGAGCTTCCTCCCTCTTTCTTCAACCTCTCATCACTCTCTAATGTTTACTTAAGATTCAACAACTTGGAAGGAACTTTGCCTTCATCAATGTTTATCACATTGCCATATTTAAAGCATTTCCAGCTGAGCGACAATAACTTTCATGGTTCAATTCCAGCCTCAGTTTCCAATGCAACTCATCTTATTGAACTTGACCTCTTAGGAAATGGATTCAGTGGAATCATACCCTCGAAGCTTGGAAATTCACAATATTTAAGGCGGGTGTCGCTTTCTTCAAATCAGCTAGAAGCTAATGAGGTCAGTGACTGGGATTTCATGGAGTCATTGACCAACTGTAGCTATTTAGTGACACTTGAACTGCTTGATAACAAACTAGGAGGTGTTCTTCCAGCTTCTTTAGCAAATCTTTCTTCTGGGATTACTACGCTTTCGATTGCTCAAAATCAGATCACAGGGAATCTTCCTGCTGAAATCGGCAACCTTGTCAATCTTACAAGGTTTGAAGCTTATGACAATCTCTTGACAGGTTCCTTGCCACCCTCCATTGGTAGGCTTAAGAGCCTACATAAGTTGAGTTTTCAAGGAAACAAATTTAATGGCCAAATTCCTGACTCCCTGAGTAACCTTTTTGAGTTGAATCAGCTTCACTTGCAGAACAACATGTTTGGTGGAAGCATACCTGCCAGTTTTGGAAAGCTTGAGAACTTGCAGGAGTTGGATCTGTCTTGGAACAGATTCAATGGTGAAATCCCCGAAGAAGTGCTCAGTATTCAGTCTCTTTCAGTGCACCTTGACTTGTCAAATAATCTGCTTACAGGGAGTTTGCCGGCAGAAATTGGCAAACTGAGAAATCTGAATTGGTTTGCAGCTGCCAATAACAAGCTATCAGGTGAAATACCAACTAGTCTTGGAAATTGCATGAGCATAGAATATCTATTTCTGCAAGGCAATTCATTCCAAGGCGCCATTCCTCAATCTTTGAGCTTCTTGAACGGCCTGCGTGAATTAGATCTTTCACACAATAATCTTGATCAGAATATTCCAATGTTTTTGGAGGATTTCAAGGTGCTTCAGCTTTTGAATCTATCATTCAATGAATTGAAAGGTGAAGTACCAGCAAATGGTGTCTTCAAGAACTCTACTGCAGTGTCACTATATGGGAACAAGCAGCTATGCGGAGATGATAAAAAGCTCCATTTGCCATTATGTGATCATGAGCATTCTAGCAGTTCAAATGGAAAAAAACATCTAAAGCTTGCACTCAAGATAGTCATTCCATTCATTGGTATTCTCTTATGTTTATCATTTGGTATAATTATTTTCATCATTTTATGTCATTCCAAACGCAAGCAGAAGAAGCTCTCTTTCAATCTATTGAAAGGTCAATTCAGAAGAACTTCATATGCTGAACTTCTAAAAGCAACAGATCAGTTCTCTTCTTCTAATCTGATTGGAGTTGGGAGCTTTGGCTCTGTTTACAAAGGAATTATAGAACCTGGTGACACCATTGTTGCTGTGAAGGTATTGAATCTAGAGCGAGAAGGTGCATTAAAGAGTTTCATGACAGAATGCAAAGCATTGAGAGATATTCGGCATCGAAATCTTGTTAAGATATTGACAGTTTGCTCATCTATAGATTTCAGTGGGAATAGTTTCATAGCATTAGTACTTCAGTACATGCCTAATGGAAGCTTGGACCATTGGCTTCATCAAAGGGGATCAGTTACTGAAACAAATATGTTAATCTTCCTCCAAAGATTGAGCATAGCAATTGATGTGGCTTCTGCACTTGATTATCTGCATAATCTTGGTCATGCACCAATTGTGCATTGCGATTTGAAGCCGAGCAATGTCCTTCTAGACGAGGAAATGAGTGCTCATTTGGGTGATTTTGGGTTAGCTAAGACCCTTCTTGACATAGATGAGAATCAAGCTGCATCGATTGGGATAAAAGGGACCATTGGATATGTTCCTCCAGGTGAGTTTTCCAATACTCTCAGCAGCTCAAGTTTGATAATTTAGTAGTTAGCTTATTTTGAGTTAATATGAAAGGTCTATTTCAAATGAAAAAAGAAATTATCACGACTTACTAAAGATATGTTATGACTGATATTCTTAGATTTGTCATATTAAAAATTTATGTTGAAATCTATTAACAGTTCAATTTAATTTATTATTTTATTTATACTAACAACAACAACATCATCATCAAACTTTTATCCCACTACAAGACCAGAGGCTGTACCAGCTTTAGTCTCAGGAGGGCAAGTGTCAAATTTATAAAAAAATAAGAATATATATTGGAGTGCAAAAATAATTTATTTTGCACATAATCACTTTTCACAGACCTGTTTGTTAGTGTTATAAAAGTTCAACATAACTGGATAAACATAGTGGGTGGCCAAGAGGATTTAAAATGTTAATGAATTCGAGAAATATAAATATATTTGTTATTTGATATAATACATGTATATTTATTCAAAGAATTCAGAATTATGCAACATCTAACTTATTCTAGGATAAACTCTTGCAGAATATGGAATGGGAAGTAAATCTTCTCCTCAAGGAGATGTATACAGCTATGGAGTAATGTTGCTTGAGCTGTTCACAGGAAGAAGGCCAACAGATGAAATATTTAAGCATGATCTAAGTCTAAGGGATTATGCAGAGAGTTCAGATATTGATAATCTCATGGAGATCATTGATCCATGCCTTATATCAGAAGCTCAAAATAGAGTTCAGGACAACAGGTTTGATATGCTTGAGGAACTCAAATGCTTAGATTCAGTTATAAGAATAGGTCTTTTATGTTCTTTGGATAATCCAAAGCAGCGTATGGAAGTAGTTGATGTGATAAATCAACTGAATGTAATTAGAAAGACACTTGAAAACTTACTGAATTTCTAAATGTATGTAAAAAGATGAAGTTTTGATTATGAAATGGAAATGTATCAGTGAATAAGTCATGAAAGTTATTAAAAGTATTTAACTTTCATAGCAATTTTTCTGAATTCCTCTTGTTAGACGAACCACTTGTGGCTTCACTTGAAAAATGGTCATTTGTAATTGTATAATTAAGCAAAGAAGCTTGAACTTTTTTTTTAATACTCGATGTCTGAATAAACAAGTGTTGACCTTCAGATTATAGCCAAAAGAAACAAAAATGAGAAGAATACACAACATACCTATACTGAATCTTTTCCCAAAATCGTGAAAAATCCCGCTGAAATATTGTGTACGCGGCGCTGTCTGAGTCGCATCCCGTGATTCCTGCTCAAATCTTGCAAATCCGCTCCATTTGTTCGCTCCAATACGGCTATTAAAGAAGCGATGAACGAAGAGCTTCCTGATGCCAAACTCCATTCGTTGCTTTCGATCTTTAAATCCGACGCCAACCTCATAGCAGCCAACACCCCTTTCTCCTTGCTCTTCCTTGTACTTATCTCCTTTTCCCTTGCACTTAACCTGAGCTCGATTCTCCACTCCCGATCGGCACCAGTGTTCATCCCGACTCCTCTGTCCCTACGGCAAGCCACGAACTTGCCTTCCAAATCTTGCAATCAGAAGCCCTAGACCCGCCGAAGTCCACTGCGTCGACCCTCTTCGACGGCATTCCCCTTCTATCGGTTCGAAAGTTGCGACTTTTTGATCGTGTTGTCCCAACCGTCACATAAATTTAAACATCTAAAATCTCAATGTATATACTATACATGCATAACATGCAATGTAATCATAAGAAATGTTTTTTCTTAGTAAATTAGAGTTTCGAAGGATGTACTTTTGAAGGATGAGATCCCTTTGGACATAAGTGAGAAGTTTTAAGATCATTGAATGAATTTTTTGAAGGTTAAGCAAGTTTTAAGATCTTTGAATACTAATAAGAAATACTTTTGTGTAAATTTATAACAATCAATTAATGTTACCAGATGATCAGTATGATAGCTATTCATGATATAGATATATGGTACAAAAGAATATATCATTCACCTGAAATCATGACATATATCAATATCTATGGTTTGTACCTATAAGTTTTAGTCTAGAAGTTATGTCCAAATGATTGAATATTATAATCCAAAAATAAATTGTACCATATGTTTAAGTCTAGCATTTATGTTCAAATTGATAGGTTTACATAACATAGATATACCTACTCATTTTTACCACCAAACATCAAGTCTAGAAGATAATATGATAAGGAAATGTCAACCATTATTAGATTTCATTAATTATTAAGCTACATTTATATTTGTTATGATATATAAATCCAAGTGTCGTGCAACAAAAATCACTCACGATAATGTCAAGTTTTGGAATGTCAAAATGGCTACATATGGAAAAAAAAAATATTGAGTGAAATAATTAGGCAATGATATAGCATATGTAAGATAATGAAATAGTCTTAGATATGCTTAAGTATTTACACTAAGTGAAATACTTTTCAAAAACAAATATATTACATTAGTGCAACATGATGGAAAGAAAGGGAAGACGAAAGTTAACATTGCTAGATGAGTAGAATGCCAAAATTCATGGACTGTATGGACAACATTTTAGTCATTATTGATGTCATTTTATGACATAAATATTCTGAATAATATGTTGCTGAATGATCTTTGAAGATGAAATTGTTAGGAAACACTTGAAGATTTCAAGTTAAAACTAACGATCTTAACAAAAATAGCAAGAACAATCAACCAAACCAAAGAAAAAACAGGAAAAAGAGTAGTTTTTATTAGAATAATCAACTAATGGAAGGAAAATAACAAGATACAATTGATCCTCTATTTGAGAGGAGGATCTATCTCTCTCAAATCTCTAGATGCTGCTAGAGTCCAAAAACCTAAGAGATCTCAAATTTCAGCCAAATTCAAGATGCCCTAACCCTAGGAAAACAAACTATTTAATGCATACAATCCAAAAGAAATTTTCTAAACAGCTCATACTTTGAAATTTCCTTCCTAACTGCCTTTAAAAACCTTCCTAAGCATCTATGTTAGACTATATTGATCTAACATAAATCCTTGCATTTCTAACATGTTCTAGAATTTCTCCTTTTCTGATTAAGATTTATGTTTTTGAACCTCTAATGCATTAATTTGTTTGAATTTATTTTGTTTCTTTCAGGTTGATACAAGTGGATTTTCAATAAGTACCAACATGAAACAATGTGCATCATCTTTGATAGTTGGTCCAGGAGCTGGCTATAATTTGGTTAGTTCTCTATTTCTTCCTCAGCCATAGTAGGAATTTACTTTATACATTATTCGCTACCTTTCAATTTGAAACTTCTTCTTAGACCTTCTTTGGTTTTATGCTTTTGTGGATTTGCATCATGTTGAATTAGAAGTTTATAAATTGTGAAGTGCGTGTGAATTTAGGCTTGATAAGATTTGTCTGACTGGGCAGAATGTTTTTTTCAACTGATATGTTAATTTAAGCTTTGTTTGGGACGGCTTTCTTTATGCTTCTAAAAGCAGCTTTCTAGTGCAAAACAGTAAGAAAGCCGTCCCGCCTTAGTATTCATGAAGCAATATCCATATAAATGTCTTTCTTGTGTTTCAATGCCTAGAAAAATAAAAAGCATAGTTCACAACAAAATCTCAACTTTTTTTTGGCAAATTCCTAATAATTTGATTGTGGTATGGTGCAAATACATGATTTACGCACTTTCAAAAGATGCTTTAGATGTTCGCTTTGTAAAAAAATACAAAATCAAGGTATTATTCATATAATTCCCCTTTTATTTTATGGAAGAATTTACTCAATGTGCTGCTTGTTATTACATAAGTCCAACCCATTGCCTGAAGATAATGCCATTGCTGAGGATACCGAATGGATCAGCTTAGAAACCAAGAAGTGATTCAATGAACAGCTCCATGCCGAGCGTGAATCTTTCAGAGCTATTTTTGACAAAAGGCAACTGCGAGTTAGTGGTCTATTTCATGCCGATGATGACTAGTACAGAGATCTGGAACCACTGCAGATGACTACATGTTACATAAATATCAAAATTCCTCCTCTTCAAGCTGCGAGCTTTCAATGCTGTGCTAGTACTAGAATAGGCTTACTTGGAATGTATACTTGCTCTCATGACTTCATTGATATCAACCTATACTAGAAATTTTAGTTTATTTGCACCATCCATTTTGTTGGTCATAAAATTGATGTTCTAAGAGAATTGTAATGGGTCAGAATGTATTTTGAGTGATGTGACAAGAAAATACATCCCACTTATGTATGTTAATGATGTATATAATCTTTCACTCCAAGAAATGTAGAAGTAGGTGCTTTTTTTGTGAAGAAAAAGGAAAATATTATGTACTCTCACCATATTCAAGGTTTGTGAAGTGTGACAAAGCTGCTGCTAACGGCTCCAACTAGTGCTCCACTTCTCTTCATTATTCCCTTATGTTAAACAGTCTTCCATATTGCGCCTCTTTTAGCATACATTTGAGGGATTTAGCATAATTAATATGCATTCGTCTTCTTGTATTAAAAGGAAGCACTGTAGCAACTTATCACATACAGTTTTTACTGAAATGTGAATATTGCTATGTTTCCACATTCTCTTCCTTTGCTAGAACATATTTTTTGTCTTCAGCTTTGTTTGCAGGTTCAGGAACTGTTCCACCGCTGGCTTGAACCTTTCAACATGGTATCAGAGCCACAAGCTTAATAGCCATTCTCCTTCTTCATTCATGGCTGAATCCACCGACTCAGCCATTAACTCTCAGGTTGCTGCTCAAAATCCAATAGCAGCTCATTCTATTCCTCCCTCCCTTAAATTCCTTGTTTCAAACATAAAAAATGTTGTTCATACCCAACTTCTTGCGGATAACTATCCCACATGGTGAGCTCAAATCTACAAACTGTTTGCTGCTAATGGTTTTTCCAACTATTTAGATGGCTCCAATGCCTGTCTGTCGAAACACATCCTCTCAAAAAAATGGCCAAGCTATCTTAAATCTTGAATACACTCTATGGTTACTTGTTGATCAAAACCTTGATGTTTTTATGCTTTCTACAATCTCCTCCATTTTGTTGCATATACTAAATCTTGATACTTGCTGTGCCATTTGGTTTACACTTGAAAAACGGCTCCACTCCACGAACCGATCCAGAGTTATACAACTTACAAATGAATTGCATTCCAGTTCCATGAAAAACCAGACAATGGCTGAGTATCTCTCTGTCGTCAATCATCTCGTCGACAATATTACTGCTGCTAGCAGCTCCCTTAACACAGAGGATATCATATTGTACATGCTGAATGAGCTCCCATCAAACTACCAAGCCTTCAAGATTGTCATTCAAACAAAGCTTACTCCGATCAATTTGGATGCCTTATATTCACTCCTAAGCAGTGAAGAAATTAACTTGGCTACTGAAGCATCAAAAGAAATCAAGCTATTCTAGTATTTCTCTGGCAACGAGCATCAGTTTGCTCTTACCTCTACTAAAACCTTGGTTGTTGGTGCTTCTTTCATGGTCACAGACATGGATGCTCCTCCGATGCTTCCCCTCGCCAGCTTCCTCCAAGACAACCTATTAATTGTCAAATTTGTGGAAAGCGCGGTCACTCCGCTCTTACATGTTGGCACAAAATAAACCTTCAGTATACTTAAAATATGCAGGCCATGCTCTCCGACGTCGTTCCCCCACCCCCGCCCCCCCAACAAAGGCTTACTTCATACTCCTTATTGTATGCTCTCTCTTCATCCTCTTGTTCATGTTCCGAATCTATCCCATAATCTCGTTTCTATCACTAAACTCATTTCTGAGCATGATCTTATCATCTCTTTTGATCATGATGGTTATATTATTCAGAATTGTCAAACTCTGCTCAAAGGGACATGCCCTAATAGCTTATATCTCATTCCTTGTCACTGCACTCCCGTCTCTTCCTCGTCTTTGGTTGCTCTACATACTATTCGGAGTCATCTGAACTTTGGCATCGTCGTATGGGTTAGTCCCACTCTATTAATATTTCAGCTATTTTAAAACTATTTCCTGAATTATGTATTCGACCTTACTCTTCAAAACAATTTTGTAACTCTTGTGCTCTTGCAAAGAGCCATAGACTTTCATTTAATGAATAAAAAAGCTTTTCTTCTGCACCTCTTGAATTACTTCATGCTGATATTTGGGGAAAAAAAGCTTTTCATCCGATCAGATTGCCGATATCCTAACGAAGGCTCTACCTCTTACCATATTCAATTATCTTCGAGACAAATTGACGGTTCGTTCACCCATCAACTTGAGGGTGCTTGACAAAGTTGCTACTAACGGCTCCAACTAGTGCTCCACTTCTCTTCATTATCCGCTTCCGTTAAACCGTCTGCCATCTTGCGCCTCTTTTAGTAGACATTTGAGAGCATTAGCGTAATTAATATGCAGCTGTCTTCTTGTATTAAAAGGAAGCACTGTAGCAACTTCTTACAAACAATTTATGCTGAAATGTGAATATTGTTATGTTTCTGCATTCTCTTCTTCTACTATAACTTCTTATGCTAGAACTTCTTCTTTGTCTTCAGCTTTGTTTCCACATTCTATTCCAACGCTGGCTTGAGCCTTTCAACAAAGTGGATATTGATTGAAATAATTTGCTAATGCAGCTTGTAAAGGTTTATTATATGCTTAGTTTATTATAAGCTTGTAATTTTTCACTCCACGGCTTAGGGTGATTGGGAACCCTTCATCTCGGGTTCGAATCCCCTCTACTACGGTCTCTTCTCTTTAATAGTACAGAGCAAGTATGGGCCTGATGCCGGTGAATAGCCTCGTTAGGTTCCGCTGAGGGATTATTTATGCCGCCAAGTGTTACCTATAGAGTGGCAGCAGGTAGATACCCCCGTTCCTAAAAAAAATATCATCATTTATTGTGCACTTACATAAATATTGTTTATATAAGAATGAATAAAAAAAAAAAACTTGCAAGTTGCAATGCAAGTTGGTACCTCAAGTCTCTGCTACAAATATAAAATTGTCATTTTTTAATTATATTTATAAATTTTAATTAAATCTAAACAATAAATTAATATAATTATTTTTAAAATAACACTATATATATGTTATAAATTTAACAATTTTAGAATTTCTACCAATTTAATATATTTTTTAACTTTATTCCTTTTGAAACTTAATAGTCATATCATGATAAAAATAAAGAAATTAATTAGATATTCATTCTAAATTGCATTCATCCAAATAATAATAATAATTGTTTAAATTAAATGGCCACAGAAAAAAAAATTAAATCAAAATTTAATATGCTAAAAATTAAATTATTTTTATTTGATTAAATCTTGATTTAAATTGTTCATCAAGGTCATTAAAAAATTTAAAAAAAAAATTTGTTCGTTAAAGTCAATAACATGCCATCTTGGTTTCTCATCTGGAAAGCGAGCTCGAACTCGGACTCATCCCACTATAAACAAGCGCGAGCCGGAGCCGCTCGATTTCTCATTTGACCGATATTATATTTTTCCCGACCAATTCTCATATTCCCGCCTGTTAATGTTGCATCCATCTGAATGGAAAGTTCTCATTTTCCGCCATTTGGATCCCATATTTCAAAATTAGGACAGTTTGCATTAATGAAAAAAATGCCTTCACCTGAAACAAGGCAATGGAAATAAACTATATGAATTAACATGAAAAGCAACCAGTTGGATCTCATATTACAAGCAAGCTGTCATCTTTTATACATTAATAAAAAATGCGTGGATGGAAATTTAATATACATGTGTGAAAGTATTTCTAATTTTTTAAAAATACCTTAAGTATAATAATTTCTAGCCGGCTCTTGAGCTTCATCAAGCTCGAACTCGAGCTCACGGCTCAATAAGCTCGGCTGATGAGCTCGTTAACGAGTTGAGCTCGAGCAGGCTCGGCTCACTTACAGCCCGAATTCCAAGTAGCTATAATTTATTAGATATGATTGGAAATTTCACTTTATATCTCTCATGATATCAAAATTCAAATAAAACTCTCAAAATGCAACCGAGGGAGCAATGGTCTCATATTTTGAAGTGCTTTGCTTATTCTGAGTCCTAACCTTGACTGATATTCTTTCAGTCGATTTTGTTTTTTTCTTGTATTTTTTGTGTTTTTCACCTTTTTCTTTTGTTTTGAGGTCGCTATTTTGGTTTTGTGGTTGCTTTTAACTTTTTCTTTGTACACCTTTTCATCTTTATAATATAATTTGGGCCAAAAAAAATCAAATAAAATATATAATATTGAAATGTTGTATATGTAATTTCCCAAAATTTATTATTCATGTTCTGATAATTAGCTAATAATTGAAGCAAGCAGGTTTCTTCTTCCCCTTCAATATATATAAACCGCAAACTCAAGTAAAAATCCTCCATTGTTGTTGTTGAGCTCATCCTTCTTCCCAATGAATCTCATCACTCCCTCCATCTTCTTCTTCTTCTTCTTTCTCTGCAACTCATCACCCTCCCATTCTCCTCAAACCACCGCTTCCACCGACCAACTCGCTCTCCTTCACTTCAAATCCCTTCTTACCGACCCCACCTACTCTCTCTTCTCATGGAACTCCTCCCTCCATTTCTGTCAATGGGAAGGAGTCAATTGTAGCATCACCGGCCGAGTCACAAGACTCAGACTCATCTCGCTTCAGCTCGCTGGCCCCATTTCGCCAAGCATTTGCAATCTTACCTTCCTCGAATCGCTTGTGCTTGTCGATAACAATCTTATTGGCGCTATTCCGACCGAGATTGACCGACTTTCTAATCTCGTGAGTCTAATCCTAAATTCGAATTATCTCACCGGCGAGATTCCGACGAGTATTGTTCGTTGTTCGAAACTACAGTTTGTTCATTTGAGGAGTAATTTGTTTACAGGGGAAATCACTAGGGAGATCGGCTTGATGTCTAATTTGCAGGTATGAGTTTATGTGTTCCAATGGTTTTTTTTTCTTTTTTTTTCTTTTTTTTTTTTTGAATGGGTTAAAGGCAAGATTATATACTATTAGCATTCTAGTTTAGAGCGTTTATTATTATATGACAAGAAATTTTGTATGCGAGAAAAATAAGAATTATTAAACCATAACAACAAATTCTCTAATTTTGGATTATTTAATTCTCAACTGGGTTTTTAGTTAATTTTGTTGCCTACAAATTCTCTAATTTTGGATAATTTTTTCTTTTTGAAGCTACTTTGCAATCTATAGTTTATTTGGGTGATTATAGCTTTGTAATTTTTGGTTTTGGCCTCTTTTGGATCTTTGTTTATAATTCCTTTTTTGAGTTAATGAAATTTGGGCAAGTTCAAAAAAAAAAAAAAAAGCCATAAAATTTTCATAAAATATTTAAAATTTGCATAATTGTAATCTCCATAACATATAAAAAGTATGCGGTTAAAAGTTTACCAGTGCAAAGTTATCCGTATGTTTCGCTAAAGGTAACAATAATTTGATCATAAAATTAGATAAAAAATTTCACATTTTTAAAAAATGAGATAGGTGTTATGAGAGATACCTCGAGACAAACAAGTTTTTCAATTAGGCCAACGGACGAAAATGGCTTGAAGTCGCCCAAAACCAAATTTTCCCCTTCTCTCTCCTATCTTTTTCTCTCTTATTCCCTAAGATACTCTCTGTTGCCCCTCTTGTAAATGGCTCTTTTTAAAAAGCTTTTTAAGTGGATATAATATTTTATAATAAAATTTTAAAAGAGATTTTGGTAATTATTTTAATTTTTTAATTTTAAGCTAAAAATTCATATAAATTCTTTTAAGGATTCGAAAAATTGTAGAAAAATGTCCTTAAAATAGCTCATTTTATTTAGAAAATTCGAGTGAAAATGATTTGCAAAACGAACACCCGTTGGTCCAAAAAAATCTCATTTGTTCCGATAGATGTCAATTTCTTTATATTTGTGTGCGTCGCTAAGACGTGAAATATAATTTCTATCTACTCAAATTTTTTAGCACGCAACAATCTTTGAATGGTATTAACTTGACTTTGGCATTTTTCTTTAATATTTGGCTTTACGTTCAACTCCCTAAGTCAAGAGTCATACAAGAACATTTCAGCTTATATTCAATGAACTAAGCTAAAAAAAGCATTGATTTGTTCATTTGCTGCTCATTTTGGCTGCAGGAAATCAACTTGTCAGAAAACAACATCACTGGAACAATTCCCGTTTCCATGAGTAACATATCGTCTCTGAAGTTTATTGACTTCGCAGAAAATATGTTGGTAGGCTCCATTCCTGAGAGCATAGGAAGATTGGCTAATCTCCAATTTCTACAAATGGAAAGAAACAAGTTCACTGGGGAGCTTCCTCCCTCTTTCTTCAACCTCTCATCACTCTATGGTGTTTATTTAGGATTCAACAACTTGGAAGGAACTCTGCCTTCATCAATGTTTGTCACATTGCCATATATACAGAATTTCCTGCTGAGCAGCAATCACTTTCATGGTTCAATTCCAGCCTCAGTAGCCAATGCATCTCATCTTATTGAACTTGACCTCTCAGTAAATGGATTCAGTGGAATCATACCCTCGAAGCTTGGAAATTCACAACTTTTATGGAGGGTGTTGCTTTATTCAAATCATCTAGAAGCTAATGAGGACAGTGATTGGGATTTCATGGAGTCATTGGCCAACTGTAGCTTTTTAGTGATGCTTAAACTGTTTGATAACAAACTAGGAGGTGTTCTTCCAACTTCTTTAGCAAATCTTTCTTTTAGGATTACTGTGCTTTCGATTGCTCAAAATCAGATCGCAGGGAATCTTCCTGTTGAAATTGGCAACCTTGTCAATCTTTTAATTTTTGAAGCTGATAACAATCTCTTGACAGGTTCCTTACCACCCTCCATTGGTAGGCTTAAGAGCCTGCATAGGCTGACTTTGCAAGGAAATAAATTTAATGGCCAAATTCCTGACTCCCTGAGTAATCTTTTTGAGTTGAATCAACTTTACTTGCACAACAACATGTTTGGTGGAAGCTTACCTTCCAGTTTTGGAAAGCTTGAGAACTTGCAGGAGCTGGATCTATCTTGGAACAGATTCAATGGTGAAATCCCCAAAGAAGTGCTCAGTCTGCAGTCTCTTTCAGTGCACCTTGACTTGTCAAATAATCTGCTTACAGGGAGTTTGCCGGTAGAAATTGGCAAACTGACAAATCTGAATTGGTTTGCAGCTGCCAACAACGAGCTGTCAGGTGAAATACCAAGTAGTCTTGGAAATTGCATGAGCATAGAATATCTATTTCTACAAGGCAATTCATTCCAAGGCGCCATTCCTCAATCTTTGAGATTCTTGAAAGGCCTGCGCGAATTAGATCTTTCACGCAACAATCTTGATTGGAGTATTCCAATGTTTTTTGAGAATTTCAAGATGCTTCAGCTTCTGAATCTATCATTCAATGAATTGAAAGGTGAAGTACCAGCAAATGGTGTCTTCAAGAACTCTACTGCAGTGTCACTATATGGGAACAAGCAACTGTGCGGAGGTGATAATAAGCTCCATTTGCCATTATGTGATCATGAGCATTCTAGGAGTTCAAATGGAAAAAAACATCTAAAGCTTGCACTCAAGATAGTCATTCCAGTCATCGGTATTATCTTATGTTTATCATTTGGTATATTTATTTTCATCATTTTATGTTGTGCCAAACACATGCAGAAGAAGCTCTCTTTCAATCCAGTGGAAGTTCAATTCAGAAGAACTTCATATGCTGAACTTCTAAAAGCAACAAATCAGTTCTCATCTTCTAATTTGATTGGAGTTGGGGGCTTTGCCTCTGTTTACAAAGGAATTATAGAACCTGGTGAAACCATTGTTGCTGTGAAGGTATTGAATCTAGAGCGAGAAGGTGCATTAAAGAGTTTCATGGCAGAATGCGAAGCATTAAGAGATATTCGGCATCGAAATCTTGTGAAGATATTGACAGTTTGCTCATCTATAGATTTTCGTGGGAATAGTTTCATAGCATTAGTACTTCAGTACATGCCTAATGGAAGCTTGGACCAGTGGCTTCATCAAGGGGGATATTTTACTAAAACAGATAAGTTAAGCTTCCTCCAAAGATTGAGCATAGCAGTTGATGTGGCTTCTACACTTGATTATCTGCATAATCTTGGCCATGCACCTATTGTGCATTGCGATTTGAAGCCGAGCAATGTCCTTCTAGATGAGGAAATGAGGGCTCATTTGGGTGATTTTGGGTTAGCTAAGATCCTTCTTGACATAGATGACAATCAAGCTGCATCGATTGGGATAAAAGGGACCATTGGATATGTTCCTCCAGGTGAGTTTTCCAATACTCACAGCAGCTCAAGTTTGATAATTTATTAGCTAGCTTAATTTGAATTAATTTGAAAGGTCTATTTCAAATGAAAAAAAAAAAAAGAAGTTATCACAACTTACTAAAGATATGTTATGACTGATATTCTTAGATATGTCTTATTGAAAATTTATGTTGAAATCTATTAATAGTTCACTTTTATTACTTTATTTATGCTAACAACAACAACAAGTCAAACTTTTATCCCACTACGGGAGCAAGGGCGGAACCAACCTTAGTTCTTAAGAGGGGCAAGTGGCAAATTTATAAAAAAAATAAGAATATATATATAAGAGTGCAAAAATAATTGATTTTTCACATAATCGCTTTTCACAAACTTTTTTGTTAGTTTTAGGAAAGTTCAACATAATTGGATGAAAATAGCGAGTGGCCAAGTGGCTTTTCGATTTTTAGAGGGGCAAATTGCGAGAAAAAAAGGTTAACTGGGGCCAAAAAATAAAATTTAGGAGGTAGATTACAAATAGCTCATATTATACTAAGAGTTCTAATTTTTTTAGGGGGGCAATTGCCCTCCCTCACCACTACACAGTTCCTCCCCTGTACAGGAGGACGACCATATCAATCATTTTATGCTAACATGATAATGAAGTCTAGAATATAAATATATTTGTTATTTGATATAATACATGTATATTTATTCAAAGAATTCATAGTTATGCAACATCTAACTTATTATTGGATAAAATCTTGCAGAATATGGAATGGGAAGTAAATCTTCTCCTCAAGGAGATGTATACAGCTATGGAATAATGTTGCTTGAGCTGTTCACAGGAAGAAGGCCAACAGATGAAATATTTAAGCATGATCTAAGTCTAAGGGATTATGCAGAGAGCTCAGATATTGATAATCTCATGGAGATCATTGATCCATGCCTTATATCAGAAGCTCAAAACAGAGTTCAGGACAGCAGGTTTGATATGCTTGAGGAACTCAAATGCTTAGATTCAGTTATAAAAATAGGTCTTTTATGTTCTTTGGATGATCCAAAGCAACGTATGAAAGTAGTTGATGTGATAAATCAACTGAATGTAATTAGAAAGACACTTGAAAACATACTGAATCACTAAATGTATGAAAAAAGAAATGAAATTTTGATTATGAAATGGAAATGTATCAGTGAATAAGTTAGGAAAGTTATTAATAATATTTAACTTTCATAGCATTTTTTATGAATTCCTCTTTTTAATGGATAAATTTATTTTCTTAATTAGCTGCTTAGAGTTCTTAATTAGCTGCAATTGTACGGGTTTCATAAATTATTTTTTTAAGATTAAGGCTTTATTTGAAATGGCTTTTTTATTGCTTCTTAAAGCGGCTTTCTAATGCAAAAATTAAAATTTTTATACAAAAAAGCCGCTTTAAAAAGAAATAAATAAGCCGTCCCAAACGAAGCCTAAAACTTTGACAAATCCAACATTCAGTTGTTATACCATCCTCCCAAATCTCAGGTCTGTCCCTGTCCCAACCCATCTCAACATAACTCGTATACCGAACATGTCACATAGTATTGGATTGCATCAGTTCAGATTTTCAAAAACTATTTGGAAGAAATTTCTTTTTCTTTTCATTTAATAGCAAAGCATAGAGCCACAACCAATATACATCAATCTAATATTACAAAAAGTAGGGCTGCAAATGAACCGAGCGTTAGACGAGCTACTTGCAGCTTGGCTTGATTAAAGCTCGTTTGGATTGTTAGTTAAGCAAAGAAGCTTGAACTTTTTTTAAAAAAATACTTGATGCTTGAATAAATAAGTTTGAATAACTAGGTGTTCAACCCATTTATTATTATTATTATTATTATTTATTATTATTTTTCCCCATTTATGTTTGTGAACAACATCGTTTATGTTCAACTCATTTATGTTTGTGTTTAAAGTTCGAGAACAAGCTTGACATGAAGTTCGATTAGAAGCTTGATAAAAACTCGATTCTTGTTTGATACAAAGCTTGTGAATAAGATCGTTAAAATTTAATGTGATTACTAAAGTTAGAGATAAAATTTTCCAACTTTATGTTGCTAAGCTGTTAAGTGCTAATTCTTTCAAAGGTTGTCTTCATGTGGCTGGTGATTTTGGGTTAGTTTTTAGTGATTTAACTGTTAATGCTATGGACTATCTTGTGTTTTGGAAAAAATAGAGGGAGGGTTGCTTTAAACTTAATACTGATGGGTCCATGAATAATCTGAATGCGGGCTGTGGTGGCGTTATTAGGGATTTTAATGGTTTTGTCATTATGGCTTTTGCGGGCCCTTCGAATGCTACTAGCGCCATTCAAGCTGAAATCGAGGCTCTTTTATTTGGGATCCAATCTTGTATTTCTCTTGGGATTATTAATATTTGGATTGAAGTTTACGCTTTGCTTTTAATTCATTATCTTGAGAGAATTTCTTCTTCCAACCCTGCTTACTTTTATATGTTGAGGGATATCAAGTATTGGCTATCTCGCATCAATTACACTATTTCACACATTTGGAGGGAGGGAAATGCTGTGGATGATTCTCTTGCTAAAAATGGTTGTAACCTTAGTTGATTCAATGATTTTTATGAAAATACTCTCCCTAAAGACACTAGAGGTTTGGTGAAACTTGACCGTCTGGGTCTTCCTTACATGCGTTCTAAATAATGATAGAATTTTTGTTTCTGCTTTGGCTGATGGCTCCTTTGTTTCGAGATCTCATTCTATTGGCTGGAATCATTTTCTGCTGTGGTTTTCGTTGTCTGTTCTTGTGGGGTTGTGCGATCTCGGTGAAATGCTGGTCTGTTTGGTCCTCCTTGCTGCTCCTTCCTGGTTTCTGTTTCACTTTTGGATTATGGCTGGTAATTTTTTGTGCAGGGCAGTTCCAGCCGTGTGATTTTGTGGTAGTTACCGTTTGGAGATTTCTTTTTAAATCTATTCTATTCACCAGTATTTCCCACTACATGTTGTATTTATTGCTATTTGGGTATATCTCTGTGATGAGGAAGACCTCTTGGAGTATCCTTTTCATTCTCTATAATACTTATTTGCAGAATCCTTTTTTTCGCTTGTTTGTGCTTTATTTTGCTTTAGTGTCCTTGCAGGCCTGTTTTGCAGGTTTTTGGAGGCTAGTTCTCATTGTGCAGGACCAATTTTTGCTTGGGAAGATTGTGCTGATTGAGTCTATTCTTCTTTCCCTTTGTTTTAGAATGTTATTAGGTTTCTTTGTATTGTGCTTAGCAGGGAACTCCGGTTCTAGGACCCTTTTAGTTTTGCTTTTCCTGTAACTCTTTAGAGCAGTAGTGAGCTAGAGGTCCCTTTAAGCACCTTGTATTTTTTTCCTTATATTAACGCGTAGGCCCCTTCTGTGGGTTTCAACTAAAAAAAATCATTAAAATTTTGATTATAAAATGATGAAAAAACCATTTACATTTATTATAATTTCATGATATAATAATTATTGATTAATAAAATTAGAATTAATTAATATATTAGCTAAATAAATTATAAGTATCTAATTGATATTATGTATTGTTTAGTTACAATTATTTTCATTTTATAATATTATTTAGTAACATTTTGCAGGCTTGTTTGATAACTCGAAAATACTCGTTAAATTTGTTGTTGAAAGGACTTATTTGATAGTTGAAAACTCTCGCTAGATATGTTCACAAACATGCCCATGTGTTAGCTTGGAAACACTCATTGAAAATGTTTGTAAATTGTCTCATTTAGTAGTTCGAAATATTTTGCTCGATATGTTTGCGAACATGCTCGATGTATTTATTTGTTTGTAGGCTCGACAATGCTTGTTTGTTTAAAACTAGGTAAGCACAAAATGAAACGAACATAAACCAAACACAAATCAAATATGAGAATGTATTAATTTAAACAAACTAATCATGAGCACGATTAGAAAAGCTCAAATCGAGTTCGAATGATGCCCCCTTAACACAAACTAATCATGCCCTCCCTAGCAGAATTATGCACATTGTGTAGATGTGCTATTACAAGGGTTTTTAGGCAATTACCTCCCTAATTTTTTTAAAATATTATGGTCTTTAGGCGATTGCTCCCAACATAATTAAACACATTATGTAGAGGTATTATTGTTAGGAAACGACGAACCAAATACAAAGAGAATCCAAAAATATCCTTACAACTAAAATTTATTTCGGGGGTGCTGCCCTCGGAAACCCCCGCAGGGGCGTTGCCCCTTGACTCCGTGACCTGATAGGGCAAGTCGAACTACATCAGGGGGTGCTGCCCCCTTGGAGCCTCGACATATCTGAGAAGCATACAATGATCGAGGATATGAACAAATAGGGGTCGAGCCAAATTTAAGGCAACTCCAACATATATTTTGTAGAATTTAAATTATTAATCAATTACATTATTTTAATTTTTAATTTTTTTTTGCAAACAAATCATCCATACATCAATCTAATTTTTGTTTAAGAATAATTGTCATTATATAAGATGTTGATGATATTTTTAACATGTATTATGTATCAAGTACAAAGAATCATAAGTCCATATATATATATATATATATATATATATAATCTCTATGCTTTTACTTATAAATTTGCCCCCTGAAAATTAAAGCTGATTCCGCTCCTGACTCAAACATGAACAAGCACCATATATTTGTTTCAAGTCCTATAGAAAATAACTCAAAACATTCTCATTAATCTTCCAAAAAGTTTTATAGACAAAATATTCATATAATTACACTGATATTGGTACAAAATTTCAATACATGATCATCAAATTCAAATTATTTTTAAATTACATATTGACTTATATTTTGATTAAGATAGTAAGACCAAATTTCTTCATAAATTATCAAAATGTTCAACTTAATTTCGGTAAAGCTGCCCGCTTTTGGCCCCGCGCTGAACCTAAGGCTTCGTTTGGGACGGCTGTTTCCCTGCTGCACTGTATAAAACGTAACCCAGAGGTGGTTTGGGAGTACGCGTTCGTGCTCCGTTCTCGAAATTTTTGCGTCATGCAGTTGCTTCTCACGTCGGGCGGAAGACACCCGCGTTTCGGCTGCTTCCCGCTGTTTGTATCCATGAGAAATACTTTAATGCCCTTACTATGGAACCCAAAACGCTCACGCAACTCTCGCCGTCTCTTCACTCTTTCAAGTCGCCGAGAAGGAGAACGACCTCCTCGCCGCTGACGAGAGCGACGTAGTAGCTTCCGGTGGGTTCCGGGCAACCTCCACCGGAGAATTTGGCGTGGCGAAGGTTCCAGAAAAGGTCCGATCGCCCACGTCGATGGATTTGAAACCCTTCCTGCTCCAGAAGGGCCATGGCTTGAGATCGACTCTGCAGGTGGATGGTGGATCGCAACTGCCGTCGGAACCGTCGACGGAGTTGGACAGGGAGTGGTTGATGAGAGTCTTGTTCCACACTACCGTTACCCTGCGGAGCTTGTTACCGATCTTGGCTTTGTATACGATGATCACAGAGCATTGCGGGGTTGTTTTGCTGCCGGAATTGCCGGCTGCCGTAGATTCCTCCGGCTTATTGTTTCCGGGTACTGGAGAGTTTGTTTCCTCCATCTTTCATTCCAGTCGCGCCTTCCAGTAACCTCCACCGTAGAAAGTGCTGCGCTTTCCACGGCAACCTCCACCGGAAACAAGATTCCACGGCTTATTGCTTCCGGTGGGTTCCGGGCAACCTCCACCAGAGAAAGTGCTGCGCCTTCCAAGCCACTGTTGCAACCTTGCAATTAATTAAACAAGGATCTAAATACAGTCCATTTGCTTGGCACTGTATTTTTAATAAAAAATTATTTTTTATCATAATATAAAAAAAAAAATTTGGCAGCTTTAATATATTTAAAAAAAGTTGTACCAAATTAAGAAGTGATACCATTTTGATTTAAGAATTGTTAGTTGATTATTATATACATTTAAAAAATTTTAAATTTTAAAAATTTATATATTTCATCTAAATGTATATAAAGGTATGAAAGTAAATTGTTCTCATGCAGCTGCAGCACAGCAGCTCTACAGTTACACTGACCAAACAAAATATAATGATTTATATAAAATAATTTCAAGAAGCAATTTTCTGTACAACAATTTCACAACCTATTAACACACCCTAAGTTGGGATGTTCGCAGTTCAATTTCTCCGCAAATCGTGTCCTTTCTCCCACCAGAGAATACTTTTGGCGAAGGTTGATTCCGGCTTCGAGGGTAGGCCACCGCGTCACGTTGGAAAGCCCCGCCGAAGCTCTTCTTTCTCCGTTCTCATGCCTGGGTCTCGCGGAGAGACAATTTTGTTCTCCAAATAGTACGTTCCCATCCGTGTTTCGGCCGAAGAACTCTCCCCTGCGATCAGATTTCTTTGGTGTTGAAGCCTAGAAGAACCGCGAGAAGAAAAGCTACGGTTTTGATTCCGCACGGTTCGATGGCGATGCATGCAGGGGTTGGACTTTCCAAAGCAGCGATCTTGATAGGGGCTGGTAATTCTTCTTCTTTCTTGTTTTCTATCTGCCAGTGTTGGACTCTGATGGTGTTGCTTTGTTTGTTGTTTAGGGTTCACGGGATCAATATTGGTGCGTAATGGGAAGCTGTCTGATCTACTAGCCGATCTACAGGTGAGATTTTATTTCTGCTTTTTCATCCTGTTGGTTTGGCTTATTTGATTGGATAGTATTATTGGATATGTTGAAGTAGTTGTCGCGGAGAAAGCTGCTAGTTTGTATGATTAGCTTGAATGGTTGGATCTATCCATGATATCTGGAAGAATCTTGGATTAAATTGTTGGTGCGGTACCTTTTGTTTGCAGAATTTATTGAAGTCGACAGAGGAGTCTGGTGCTGATTCTGCTGAGTCTGTTGTTGCACAGGTTATTTATTTATGTTTTCTTTTTTGTTTCTTAGCATGGCATTTGCAATGGCTGCTTGTACCTTTTTGTTGATGGAGCATTTTCCTCCTCTTATTTGTGATGATTTTTTTTGTGCATGTGCTTTATTCAAATATCAAACTTACACTTTCTTTTAAGACAATGAAATAAAGATGGTTGATTTACAATGTTTCATTTGTGTGAACAGTTGATTGGAATACTTTATAGTTAATCACAGCATCATTTTATCAACATGCTGATTTTTTTATCATGTTAGGGGTATTCACCTTCGAGTGACATGCCACAGAATAACCCAACTATGGTGAAAAGTGGGCAATAATTGGCTAAGTTTAAAAAGAAGACTTATTTTACCACATGAAGTTTAGGTAACTTGAATGTAAATGCTAAATATGTAGCGAGCACAATTATTAGAATAATAAGGGATATCACATGTTTGCAAGAAATTAAAAGAAAAAGGAAAGTAAAGGGTTCTTAATATTTTGGCACAAGTCATTAACAGAGGGCAATTGAAATTTTAAATACGAACTATTTATTTTGTTTATTAAAATCAATATTTTTATTAAGAAATTGTGATGAAAGTTTGATGGATCGGTCCAACCTGAATCTGCATTTGTTTATAGTAGGCGGAAGGGTTCCGCCTCCAATCATGCCGTCCCCTTTGGGGGGTGGGGTCCAGCATTAAATCATAAGCTTTAATGGGGAATTAAAAAGGTATTAGGAGGGAAATTCAAATTAGGTCTGTTTGGGTAGTTTATTCAATTAATTGTATGTTTAAGAATGTTGGGAGGCTAGGACTAATTTTTTATCTCTATTTTTTTGCTGAAATTAGAGTTCTTGTATTCTTGAGCGGGCTTTAGCGGCGTCTAGAGATTTGGAAGAGATGGATCCTCCTTTCCAATAGAAGATCCATTGTATATTGTTGTTTTTCTTCATATCAATAAAAAAGTTTAATTCTGGTTTTTCCTCCAAAGTTTTTGCAATTTCTACTTTTACCAATTGCTGAAATTAAATTTAAGCAAGGGAATTTCTGATTTTCTACAATTGTTTCCTATCAAAGTCCTAACAAAGTATAGAAATAAATATAAATTTGAAATGAAAATTTGTGGAGTGAGATGGCTCAAAATATATTAAGAAAAAGAAATATGAATTTAAAGAGTGGCGCCAAATAAATATTATCAAGTCATGCGATGATTAAGAAACAAAAGATTTTCAAAGAGTTTAGTGAGCAAAGCAAACAACTTTAGATAATTCATTTAGTAGGCTAGGTACAAGAGAGGAGAAAGGAAACCTACCAACTTTGATGAAGTTGGATTGAAAAGAATGTGATCTTAGTTTAAAATGAAGACATCAAGGTAAGAATGTGGATCCTATTTTGAGATATTTGAAAATGATAGGTTTAAGAAGGTAAAGAGCTAAATGAGTAGAATCATGTGTCATGTTATAGATTGATAAAGGAAAAATGTGGTTACATCAGGGCTTTGAAGAAGTTTTATGAATGCAAAATATTTGTTGTCATTTGCCGATGCCTATGCAATATCATATTAAACATAAATAAATTATAGTAAAAATCATAGAAAATTAAAACTAATCTTTAAAATTTTCTTTCTAGCTTTTATTGTGCAACTTTAGTATTATTTTTTTGAAAGAAATTGAACTGAACAACTATATGATCATCATCTGGAAAGAAGAAATAGATAAGCTAAACTATGACTTAGTAGGAATCATGCTTCATCCAACTAGTAACGTTTAAATAACATAGATATTAATGAGTTACCATAATTACTTCATGCACTTATAAATGACTCATCAAACTATGAAGATTAAGTATTTCATACAAATTAGTGCCATAATTATATGGTTACTTCAACTATTATAATCAATCACCAAGTTAGGGGCTCAATCAATCAATTCTCTAACAAACCCAACTACTTTCCCCAATATGGGTAAATGGACTCATGCGTTCTCTCTGTTCTTAATTCTAACATCGTTGTAATTCAATAACTATTATACGCATCAACTCTAGGCACAAATAGGGAAGTATGACAAAAAACTTGGAATCGTCCTGAATTATGAGTTCCCAATATATAAATGGAGCTATCTGTTAGATTGGTCTAGGAGGGACCGACCTCAAGGCATACATGTTTCACATATTATAGAAGGCTGAAGGCCGATAGTTTCTGCCTCCAAACTGTGGGTCCAGAAGCCATCTTTTAGGGAGGAATTAGGGTGGTTTAGGAGGGAAAATTCAAATGAGGGACTGTTTAGATATTTCCTTTATTATTGTATGCTTTAAGTAGGATGTTTTCCTAGGGTTAAAGTATGAAGAGTTTTGCTGAATTTAGTTTGTTTTGGGTGTTTTGGGCTCTAGCTAGCAACTAGAGATTGGGAGAGTCGGATCCTCCTCTCCAATTGAGGATCCATTGTATCTTGCTATTTTTCTTCTACTATTAATAATTAAATAGTTTATTTATGGTTATTCTTCCGAATTCTTCTCAATCATATTTTTGTAGAGTGCTGAAATTCAAATTCAGCCAAGAAAACTCTTAGTTACTACAAGCGTTTCCTATTAAATTGGTATCAAAACATTGTCTTGGGCAGAAATATAGGACTCCTTACTAATTTCTATTGTGTTTTCCCCTTCGTGTTGCTGATTTGTCTATTTGATCACCAAATCCGTTGTTTTTTTTTTGTTGTTTTTGTTATTTCGAGCCTAGATCGGGGTACCTATGGCAGGAAGAAATGTTAGAGAAGGAGATTGGACAAATGAAATATGAAATTTCATATCTCTAAACCCAAATTTCATATTGCAAAAGTCAAATTGCAGTCGTCCACGAGAAGATCGATGGAAAATTTTTTATCATGGAGGAGATGTTGAAGAAATTGCTCGAGGGCCAAACCAAAACATTGTCGTCAAAGGTGAGGGAAACCGCCGAAAGCTAAGTGGGAAAAATCCTAAGCCAATAAGGCAAAGGGAAGATCAAGAGGTGGAGATTTTGGAGTGAGTAGAAGAAATGACTCCCCTAGATTCTATTCTTAGGGAGGAGTCGGGTAGAGGGTATGTGGAGAGGCGTGAGGGAGTTGGACATGAATGGAGGGGTGTTGAATTTGAAAGGAGAGGGGCTGAATTTGAAAGGTGAGGGCTTGATTATTATCGAAGGGGTGTCAAATTTGAAAGGAGAGGGGTTGAATATGATCGAAGGGGTGCTAAATTTGAAGGGAGAAGGTGGAATTGTGATGAAAAGTTTGGGTACGAGCGAAGAAAGGATGATTGGCACAATTGGGGGGAACCACCCCTATTGGGGAATGAGAAACTTCGGAGGAAGCTAGGTGACAGAGGAGATCTGAGGATGAGGAAGCTGAAGATGCCTATTTTTAAAGGAGAGGATGCAAATGGGTGAATCTACAGGGTGGAAAGATACTTTATCATCAATAGGTTGGTGGAGGAGGAGAGATTGACGGCAGCCGAGATGTGCTTGGCGGGAAAGCTTTAGCATGGTACTAGTGGAGGGATACGAGGCGACCCATACAGACCTGGAGGGAGTTTAAGGACTGCTTGTTGAAATGTTTCTGAACCAGCAGGGAAGGAGACTTTTATGAGCAGTTCTTCAGTCTAATGTAGGAGGGGACTGTGTTGGAATACCATGAGCAATTTGAGCATCTGTCGGCCGACTGGACCGGCTTCTGGAGATTGTACTGGATGGGAGCTTTATGAAAGGGATCAAACCAGAGATTCAAACGACAATTAAAGTAATGAGGCCCCGTGATTTGGGAGAGGCTATGGAGCTAGCTCAATTAGTAGAGGATCAGAGGCGCTTAGAGAGAGGGACTGTGCAGCTTAGGAGGTTCGTACAGGATGACCACCACCTTTTTGGTATCCACACTGGATACTCTTCGGGAGATCCCAAAGGAGAAGACTAAGGAGGAAGACCTGGCTACAAATTCAAGAAGCTCACAAAAATGGAACTGCAGGAGAAGAGGGCGAATGAGCTCTGTTTTAGATGTGAGAAGTATACATTATGGCACAAATGTAAGGACCGAACTCTTCAGGTTCTCACCATTTGTGATGATGAGGGATTTGTGGAGGGTGGCATCTACAAGGTGGGTCTTTGGGAGGAGGGTATTGTTAGACCGGTCCAGGAGGGACCGGCCTCAAGGCGAACATGTTTCACCTGTTACAGAAGGCGGACAGCTTCCGCCTTCAAACTGTGGGTCCAACAACCATCTTTTAGGGAGGAATTGGCATGGTTTAGGAGAAAATTCAAAGGAGGGGCTGTTTAGATATTTCCTTTATCATTGTATGCTTTAAGTAGGATGTTTTCCTAAGGTTATGGTAGGAAGAGTTTTGTTGAATTTAGTTTGTTCTTAGGGAGTTTTGGGCTCTAGCTGGCAGCTAGAGATCGGGAGAACCGAATCCTCCTCTTCAATTGAGGATCCATTATTCTTGTTATTTTTCTTCCACTATTATTAGTTAAAAAAGTTTATTTTTGGTTATTCTTCCAAATTATTCTCAATCTTATTTTTGCAAAGTGCTGAAATTTAAATTCAGCCAAGGAAACTCTTGGTTCAAACAAGCGTTTTCTACCACTATCCCCCTTATGCATTTCCCACTTCCATCCATTAAATAAAAGCATATACCCTCATGGTCCATTACCCCATTTGGAGATCAAGCTTTTGTTTGGGATAGCCTTCTTACTGTTTTTTATTTTTAATACAAAAATTTTAAGTTAAAAAAAATTGTACTAAAAATTTACTTTAGAAAACAATAAGAAAGTTTCCCAAACGTCTCGTAAATTTAAACATCTAAATTCTCAATGCTACATGCATAACATGCAATTATGCTCACCATTGCATAGTTATCATCTCTCTAGTATTCTCATCACGCAAGCAACAAGCCTGCACATGCTATGCATGTGTAATCGTACTCAAAGATCAGTAATCATATGACAAATGCTATATGTGATAAGATCATAAATACACATTCCATTCTATTTAATCAATGCCACCATACAATGATCAACATGCAAATTAATTGCTACCATGGTATTATACTCTTCATAAGGAATTCCAAAATTTCAATCATCGTTATTTGAGATTTATTCACAAAATATAGCCTTGTAATATTATTGTTCTCAGGTAAAACCTTGACGTATCATATAAATGAAAAAAAAAAGTTGCGTTGATAGGCCTGCTTGAAACTTAAAACTCACTTGACAATCACTCAAAATTTAATTGCCTTTTTTTTTTTTCAACTCGAATATGGCTTACTAGAAATTTAATTGATTCAACTTGAAATTGACTTGCTATATATGTATTAATATACATATATGCACATATATTGTGAGATACATATAGATAGATAAACACAAATAAATGTATATATATATAAAATAGGAAAGTTTGTTTTAGTCCAAGTTTTTAGTGTAAAGGAGATTTTTAGGATCAATATTAAGTTGATATATTTTTCAATTGTTCATGAAAATATTAAGAAAAGATATTGAAACTGTGTTTTCTTAGTGAATAAAAGTTTCGAAGGATGTAATTTTGATGAATGAGATCCCTTTGGACATAAGTGAGAAATTTTAAGATCATTGAATGAAAATTTTGAAGGTTAAGCACTTAATACTAATATGATATATTTTTGTATAAATTTAGGAGATGATAAAAGTGAATAATGATAACAGTCAATTAATGTTACCAGATGATCAGTGTGATACCTACTCATGATAGGTTTACATAATATAGAGATATATGGTACGAAAGAATATATCTTTCACTTGAATTCATAATGTATATCAATATCTATGTGTTGTACCTATAAGTTTAAGTCTAGAAGTTATGCTCAAATGATTGAATATTATAATCCAAAATTGAATTGTACCATATGTTTAAGTCTAGCATTTATGTTCACATTGATAGGTTTACATAACATAGATATACCTACTTGTTTTTACCACCAAGCATCAAGTCTAGAAGATATTATGATAAGAAAATGTCTACCATTATTAGATTTCATTGATTATTAAGCTATATTTATATTTGTTATGATATATAAATCCAAGTTTCGTGCAGCAAAAATCACTCCCGATAATGTCAAGTTTTGGAATGTCAAAATGGCTACATATGGAAAAATAAAAAAATATTGAGAGAAATAATTATATTGTAGAGACAATAATGTAGCACATGTAAGATAATGAAATAGTCTTAGATATGCTCTAGTATTTACACTAAGTGAAATACTTTTCCAAAACAAAATGGAAAGAAAGGGAAGATTAAAGATAACATTGCTAGAAGTTGTGGAGAGTGTGCTCTAGAAGATGCATCACCTTGAGTTCTTGCGAGCACACATGAGATAGATTAAGAATTGATATCAGTTTGATAACCAACTGTAAAACCTATGCCATGATCCATCAAATGAATCCAAATTTAGTGGATTGTTAATTTTGATCTCAATCTAACATGAGTGAATGCATGAAGATTATAAAATTGACCAGATAAGACTAATGCTGAATGACGATGAGTTGTGGTGGAGATTTCCTGCTTGAAAGCATGCCAATTCTTGAGTCAACTAAATTGAAATTAGTCAATCATTCATGCTGATGAGCTTTTTAATCTTTTAGCCTATGGAAAAATTTTTGATTTGCTATTTATTATTTATTATTTTAGGATTATCATGGTGCTAAGTAAAAAATAGTTTCTAATTGTTAATTGTACTCTTGGAGTTAACGCCATATTATGGAGGATGACATTTTGTTAAATTTGATTTCTTATTCTTTCATTACTTAAAATTTCATTGATGGGATTTTTATTTTACTGCCATGCTATATCACACGCTAAATTTGTGTTTAAATCATGATCTATTAGGTCAACAGATTGGCTATGGAGATTCGTCAACTTGCTTCAGCACGTTCAATTACTGTCGTGAATGGTGGCTCAGGGGAAGGTATGTTTAGCACTTGTTGATGAAAATTAATTAATGTTCATATATTCATCATATGCCGTGTAAGTTAAGTTTCGTAGGTGACTGTTTGGTCAAGACACGTGCATTAACACATGAATGTTTGTTTTTTATTTATTCAGTTGATCTATTTGTTTAGATTTTTATGATTATTTTGGTATACAACAACAACAACAACATCAAGCCTTTATCCCACTACATGGGGTCGGCTACATGAATCCTTTTTCTCCATTGTGTCATATTAAAAGTCAAATTCTCGTTTAAATCTAATAAAGAAAGGTCATTCCTAATATTTTCTAACCAAGTCTTTTTAGGTCTACCCCTACCTTTCTTAACATAAGTCAAATCTAATACCTCTACTCTCCTAACCGGGTCATCGCAAGGCCGCCGTTTTATGTGACCAAACCATCTAAGGCGACTTTCTCTAATCTTATCTTCTACTGGAGCTACTCCAACCTTTTCACGTATATGCTCATTTTGGTATATCACATTTAAATTGTTATGACTAATTTTAATTAGGATAATTTTTGTTATTGCTCCAAGTATTTTTATTCAATAAATGAAAACCATAGGGCTTATTTTTATGGGACGAAGAATTTTTTTTTTTAGATATCTTGGCTCTATTGTTCAGAGTGATGGTGAAATAGATGAGATATTATTAGTAGAATTTAAGTTGAATGGTTGAATTGGAGGAATGCATCGGGCCTGTTGTATGATAGAAAAGTAGCCCTCAAACTTAAGAGAAAAATGATGTGAAATATATATTAGATGCAGGAATTGTTTAGGATTAATAAGTGATTGACAAGCTTACCAATTATAAAATTAACATTTCACAAGAGCTGATATTAGGATTTTCTTTATTGGTGATCAAGCAATAGCATTTGGTTACAAATAGAGTAGGAGAATAATAAATAACAACAAATATACTAAATGCCTATTTGCAACTAACAGAATTCCCACAATTAACAACTAGAACAATCACAATGAAATTTCCTCACTCACATTCTTTGAGAATTTTAGCGGGAGAAAACTTGACACAATATTAATGATGCCACTAAGAAGAAGCAAGCACTTAAAATTTTGTTTAAGGAAGAGTTACCCGGGAAAGAGGTGACAGGTGGACGGTGGGAGATTCGCCACTGAACGGGAGGTCGACGTGGTCGATGGTGGTTACAAGGGAGAAGAGAATCCAATCTACATATTCCTCGATGTTATGGTCACTCCAAAAGTCGATGTCAAAGAAAGGAGAATGAAGCACATCCATGAGGCTTTGATCATCAAAGACGAATCCATGATCCAAATCGGGATCAGCCATACATGGAGGAAGGGAAAAAGTGGCGGCTACTTAGAGGTAAATAAGTGTGTGGGAGTGAGCAATGGCTTTGGGAATTAATGGAGAGGAGAGTGGACATCAATAGGGGAGATTAATGGGGGTTGGGAAGGGGAAAAGGCAGCAACTATGAGAATGGGAATGACTTTAATTAAGTGGAGTTAACGAGGATTGGGAAGGGGAAAATGTAACAACTAGGGAATAGGAAATACTTTAATTAAATAGAGTTAATGAGGGTTGGGAAGGGAAAAAGGCAGCAACTATGTGAATGGGAAAAGCTTTAATTAAGTGGAGTTAATGAGGATTGAGAAGGGAAAAATGTGGCAACTAGGGAATACCAAGAGGCAAGGGGGAAGGCTGGCCGGCCAAGGGAAAGTAGCAAGGAGTTTGGCCTATTGTTCGGAAGAGGGGGGGATGCTCTGTTAGTTGTGTGGAGGGGAAGGAAAGGGATCGGCCGGCCGTTTGAAGGGTGGGAAGGCTCGGTGGCTGCTTAGGAAGGGATAGAATATTCGGTTGGCTGTTTGGAAGGGTTAGCGTGCTTGGTGGCTGCTTGGGAAGGGATGGAATATTCGGTTGGCTGTTTGGAAGGGTTAGAGTGCTTTGTGGGCTGTTTGGAAGGATGATGAGGGTGAGAGAGGAGATGGGTTAAAGACAAGAACCTTGCCATGGCAACGGTTGTTGGATGTTGCTTTACCCTACTCCTTGGGAATTCACTCTTTTCTCAAGAAGACTCAAACTCACACATCACTCAAAAAATTGAAGTTTCATTCATAATAATAATCATCTCCATACAATAGCCTAGGGCCTCAATATATATGCCTCAAAACATAAAGAATGAAAAGACTAAAACGCCAATTGGGCCACAACACACAAATTACCCAACAATGCCAACATAAGGGTAAAATGGGAAAGACTCTCAACATAACATGAAATAAGAAAATGAAATACATGAAATAAATCATAAATAAAGGCTCTTAATCATAGTCGTCGATCTACGATTCCTTATGCGATAGACGCGCCAAGATTTTCTGCCAATGTTCTCATCAAAAATTCTATAAGATGGTGGTGAGACCTACAGTGCTTTATGGTGCATGATGTTGGCTATTAAAAGAGAAGCGTAAAATTAAGTTAAGTGTTGCAGAGATAGGGATGGTTAGGTGGATGAGTGGCCTTACTCTTAGATACAAAATGCAAAATAAACATATATGGGAAAAGGTTGGAGTAGCTCTAGTGGCAGATGAAATTAGACAGTCGTCTTAGATGGTTTGGTCACATAAAATGTCTACCTTCCGATGATCCTGTTAAGAGAGTAGATGTATTAGATTTGGCCTATATTAAGAAATGCAGTGGTAGACTTAAAAAGACTTGGTGAGAAAATATTAGAAATAACTTTTTTTAATTAGATTTAAATGAGAATTTGATTGCGTGGGGTCGGTTACATGAATCATTTTTCTCTATTATGTCATGTTAATAATTAAGTTCTCATTTAAATCTAATAAAGTTACTTATAATATTTTCTAACTAAGTCTTTTTAGTTCTACCTTTATCTTTCTTAACATAAGCAATCTAATACATTTACTCTCCTAATTGGGTCATCGGAAGGTCGATGTTTTATGTGACTAAATCATCTTAGATGACTTTCTCATCTTATTTGCCACTGGAGCCACTCCAACCTTTCCACGTATATGCTCGTTTCATATTTTGTCTCTAAGAGTAAAATCACTCATCCACTTGAGCATTTTTCATCTCTGGAACACTTAATATTATGTTTCTCTTTTAATGGCCAACATTATGCACCATAAAACATTGCATAACTCACCATCATCTTATAGAATTTTCCCTCAAGTTTGAGGGGTACTTTTCTATTAGACAACAAGCCCGATTCATTCCTCCACTTCAACCATCCAACTAGAATTCTACTAATAATATCCCCATCTATTTCACCATCACTCTAAACAATAGACCCGAGATAATAATTATATCTTTGCATATCTGGCATATTTTTTTTCATTATATAGAGATATTTTCATTTTGATCTTGGCACTTCACAAAAGGCAAGTGTACTTAGACCCAAGATTATAATTGAAAATTGTCACATTTAATAAAATTATGGCTATGTATAAAACTTAATCTTTAAATTAATTTTTTTTTTATAGGACTATCAAACTTTAGCAAGGAAAACTCGAGGCAGATCTTGTTGATCAATACTTCAATATCATACTCATTATTATATGAGTATGCTTATGTCCCTTTATGATAATGAATATAGTTAAGCCTTTATTGATAAACCTCTTCTTCGTTATCAATGAAGTTGAAGCCTCGATCCTACTACAACCCATTTCATGTTAAAATTGTTGAGGGCATTGTTGATTGTTCTAGTCTAGTCGAACTAATATTTACCCTAGTGTAATGCTGTGATCTAAGGTCTTTCCTCAAAGATTTGCGTCCCAAGAAATGCCACGTCTAGTAGACATTTTAAATCCCCTTGTCCAAGAGCTATATTATGAATACAGGAAACATAAGCCCCTTTTTGATGTTGATCTTGAGGAAGATTCTACATTAAAAGGTTATTTTATAGTTGAGCCTATTCTTTAATTAAAACTTAAAGCTGGCATTGAACATAAATGTGCACTTTTTCTAGCATTGGAGCTCATAGTTGAATTTTCTTGTGAATTTAAATTAGAATTTTAATTTGAGCTTGATCAACACGTACTTGCTAAAACTATTAGTTTACTCATCCCTTCTTATTCTTGAATTCTTGGTAATTATCTGTTAAGATTTATCATATGCATGATAATCGACACCTTGATTTTATATTTTGTTCTATGTCATAATATTTATCAAACTATACGAAGAACCATTTGGAGAATATTGAATTAAAATTACATATTCATGAACGTTTTGCTAATGTATTTCCTCAAGAAGTGCGGTCTAATGATGTCTTTGACATCAAATATATATTGATCACATTGACTGATAATTACTCAGTTTAGTCCATTTTTATGAAGTAATTTTCTCTCCTAAAATGTTTTTTATTTTTTTAATCTAGAGAGTTGAAATGCTAACGTATTCCCTTATGAAGCAGTTTGCCTTATGCTTCATTTGCTCGGGCTATTTGCTTATTCTTGAAAGTTAAATGCCATGCATGATATAAATTTTATTATTCTAGCATATGGTCATTCTAATGTTTGGGATAATCATGATGAAAATTGTATTTTATGTCCCTATTGTATGCTTTCTGTATTCTACCCACCTTTCTGTATTCTACCCACCATAGATTATTTGCTAGAGCAAAAGCGCTTTCTATATTTTTAGAAAGCTATTACCTATTGCGTTTGTAGTTGCTTTGCCTGTTAATATAAGTGTTAATCCTATTTTCTATGTTGAGAACTTGTTATCTTATAGAGGCTTATAGTTATAGAAGCCTTTGAAGCCTCCAAAATTTCTCATGAATCTTTCTGAAGCACCTTTCTCCTAGTTTCTTTGAAAATTATCTTTATCATGGCTCATCCCAGGACAGTTATTCGAATTTGGGAAAATTGATGGCGACCATTTGATCATGATGCATGTGCATTGTTGGTGGAATAATGATTATTGTTTTAATTTAATTAGTTGATATAAACTTTTAGTTTTTTGTTTTTTATATGCGGATTGTTTTGTGTGAATTATTCCACAGGCTTTTTGTTCTATAGGATGAAGAATATTTCTTATTTGCTCTGCCTTGAATGGCCAGTCACTCTCTGTATTTCCTCCTTTCTCGATTGCTCTCATCTCCATCTTGATTCTCTCACTCTCCTTACTCCTTCACTACCCGCTGTCTTGTTCATTTTCTTCCCTCTGCGCTTCTCTTTCAGTCTCTAGCTTTCATTCATTATTGTCTTTATTTATAATGTTAAATCTCTCTTATTCTGTCTTTCTTCTCTCTCTGGATCTCTTCTTTTTTCTCTCATGCAATCAGTGTCTTTTTTTTTTTTTCTCTTTTTCTCTTCAATTGCTTCACAGCCCTTTTCCCTGCTTCTTTTCTTCCTCTGTTTCCAAGATTAATTTCTCTCTATTCGTTCTGTTTCTCCTTCCCTTTATCTTCTATTTATTTTACTTCCCTCACAAGCCCATAAGCACTGTAATCTACTTCGCTGATAATTAAATTTTTTTTTGCACGAGCTATTTCTGCTATTGAGTATCTCTATTATTTTGGAAGACTTTTGGTTTAGTTATCTTCAATTTCATATCAGATCTCCATTAAATTTATAGCTTAGCTCTTTGATAAAAAAAGAATGATAAAAAGAAAAGAAGTGTAATGATCTTTGTATCTGCAATTCCCAATGGCTCATTCTGGTATTGGTTTTGTCTAAAGTATGATGGGGACTGTTTGATGCTTAATGTCAGGTGCATCTTTTATTGACTTTCTTCTAGTGCTTACTTAAGTGGTTATCTTTCCAGGAAATGTGACAACGTTATTGGTGCCAGCTGCAACATTGGGGGCCTTAGGCTATGGCTATATGTGGTGGAAGGTAAATGTCTATTCATTCAACTCAGTAATGCATGAAGCCTATGCTATCTTCTATTCTGTGGGAGTTTTATCTTCTTTTATCTTCTTCCGAATCTATAACTTAGCAATTGTAAAATTTATCACCTAGTAGAAATGACGGTGCTGTTAAAATTAAGAGAGTTTAGGTGATAAATTATTATATTAGATAGAGATTAAGAATGACATATATTGAAATTGAGATAATAATGCAAATATATTTAGGTTGTTTGGGTATTTACCAAGAAGTTCAGTAAATGCGGCAAATATGCAGCTAAATAAAATTAATAAGAAAATATTGGGAAGTTAAAAAGGATAGTCAAAAGCAATCATGGCTAAACTTTATGTAAAAGATTAGCACAAAATAGAATAGCACTTAATTGTAGCATTAAATAGTTCATATTGTGAGGAGAAATCATAAACCGAACCTATGCTTTTGCATTTGTGATAAGTCTAACATTTATGAGGGCTATCCTATAAAGTATATGTAACATGATTTGGATTGTGGCAGAAAAAATAATTATCATGGTACCGTAGCTGCAATAGTTTTCTTTTAATTTTGAGACGGAAGTGTAAGCCTTATTTTTCATCATTGCAAATGTATGATAACGATTCACTGAATAAATTTGAGATGTTACAATCACTGTAACCTGTGAATTTTCAATACTTTATTGAATCATGCTTAGCATCAGGAGCGGATCTATCTTTAATTTTTAGGGGGGCAAACTTATAAGTAAAAGCGTAGAGTTTTTTTTTTCATAAATATCCTTACAACCAACATTTGTTCCGAGGGCGCTGCCTCTCGACCCCAATTTGTTCATCGTTGTACGCTTCACAGATATGTCAGGGGTCAAAGGAGGCAGCGCCCCCTGGCGGGGTTCGACCTGGGGCAATTGCTATTTTGGTTGTAAGTATATTTTTGAATTCTCTTTACTGTTTCTCTTTGTATTTCATTCATCGTTCTCTAATAATAACATCTCTATACAATATGTTTAATTATGTTGGGGCAATTACCTAAAGGCCATAGTATTTTAAAACTTTTAGGGGGGAAATTGCCTACAAACCCTTGTAATAAAGACTAAAAAATACATGGAGGGGAACAAATTACCTAAAGAATCATATAACAATTTTTTTTTAATTTTTTCAGGGGGGCAATTACCCCCCGGCCTTAAGGTGGGTCCGCCCATGCTTAGCAATAGTTAGTAGGCATAGAACTTCGAAAGCTAACTGCATTGAAGTTAACTTAAAAGTTTTTGCGACTCTGATATAAAGTTATCCAATCAAAATCCTACTAAATGAAACATACAATCATTATCTGTAATATATTAGTTAAAAGGGATGTGCAAACCTTAAGGTTTGTTTATTTACATATATGAACAATTTGGAAGTAGAAAGTGAGGGAAGGGGCGATTTTAGTTGTTTGCTTAGCGTTGGAAGTGGGAAGTTACTTCTTCAAGGAAAATGTCTCTTTAATTCTCAGACTTTTGACTTTTGTCTCATATGCCTCGGAGTCACAGTTCTAGAAGTCTTAAATTGCTACTTACATATGCATACAAACATATTATAATACTGCTACTTACACATGCACAAACATATTTGTTGATACTTGCATACAAATAATATAATTCATAAAAATATATTATAATATAAATTAAAATTATGTATACTATAACAATAAGTAATGCATAATTTATTAATTATGCTGAAATAATATATATTGAAATCTGATATATTGCTTTTAGATAATCCATTATTAATTTCTTATTATTTAATCTGTAATGTTGAATAAAAGTTGCATTAATTATTTATATATATATATATATATAATTAGTTTTATTATATCCTTCCATTTCCTATACAGTAAGACAACGAAAAAAGGTAACTTTTCTATTGGAAGAACAAATATATATATTTTTTATGAGAAAATATATTTGTATTCTATCTTTCATGCTTGTCAATTATTGATGCTGTATTAAATAGTATCAACTAGCTGAGAATCAATAAAAAATAAAAATGGAATTAATCAAAGCCAAATATCCATACACATTTGTTGCTAAGTATAACTTTCACCGGCAAGGCAGGAGAGAGAACATGAGAATCTAAGACAATAACTGGTTAAAATTGAACTATATGTAATAAGATCATAATGCAATTAATTTTAGGGAAAATGCTAAAAAAATTTAACCTTCATGATTTCAACACCAAAGATGATAACCTACATTTAATATTGTTATAGTTTTTTAAAGGGTAATAACACGTTATAAATTGCGGATAATCACAGTTTCGATGACATCAAAATATAGGTATACAATTGATGATTTACAACTTTTGTAATGAGCTGTGTGACACATACTCTATGTTGGGCTATCAACGTTAGATGCTGAACTTCATTTATCTCTTTTTGTTATTTGATATGTCCAGGGCCTCTCGTTCTCTGATCTTATGTACGTGACTAAGCGGAACATGGCGAATGCTGTTTCAGGCATGACAAAACATCTGGAGCAAGTTTCAAGTGCTCTTGCTGTAAGCCTGTCTTTTGGGAAATTTACTTTTAACAAACTTTTACTGAAAATCACTTTATGGTTAGCATTTAGAAGGTTTGTATTACTGAAATTCATTTTATTGTTAGTGTTTATAAGGTTTGTATTATATATTTGAAATATTTTTAAGGAAAGATGGCTTGATATCATATTTTCAATTTTTCATTCACCAATGACTTGTGTTGTAACTTATTTATCTTATCCTTTTTTTGGCTTAAAGTGTTTGATGTTAAAATTCCATTTACTATTGGCCTTGTAGGAAGACAAACTCCTTGCATCATTTTTACTTGCCAATGCTTATGGTCTCATTATTTTTTTGGTCATCAATAACATGTTCCGATTTCCTCTTCTATGATGTTTTGTTTGCTTGCTTTCTACATAAATGATCCTGTTTATATTTGTTTTCTAGCTTGCACTGGTTTTGAACGGTAAGGGATGTCTTTATCATCTTTACTACTTTTGCTGATATCGAGCCATCTTTACTACTATTGCTGATATCAAGCCAGTGCAAGCCATCTTTACTCTTATTATTACTACTATTATTATTATTATTGTTATATATGATTGATATTATTGCTATTCTTCTTCTTCTTCTTACAAGTGCTACCACCTTTACTATTACTATTGCTATAATTACTATTATTATTATTCTTCCTTTTATTACTACTATAACAATTACTATTGCTATTATTATTATTATTATTATTATTATTATTATTATTATTATTATTATTACTGCTATAATTATTATTATTGCTGTCAAATATATTTTTGAAATTTTATTATTATTGCTATCAGTACTACTATTATTTCTATTACCGAAAATTTTAAATTTACTATTATTAATGTTATTACTATTAGTATTATTACCACTATGACTAATATAACTATTAATTCTACTACTATTATTATTATTACCACAAAGAACAGGAGGGTTTCCAGGTGCTGCTTGCCTTTATTTATTTGTCTATTAGTTATGTTTCTTCGAAGCTAAACTGATTTATTGGTTTTATTGATCGTATGGAATACTTAATTATTGGCTTGCTAACATATATTTCTCATACTCTTAGGCAACCAAGAGGCATTTAACGCAGCGGATTGAGGGCCTAGATGGAAAATTGAATGAACAGAATTTAATATCAACCGAAATTAGAGATGAGGTGATAACATTTACAAATTATGAATTAAAATTCGAACCGGTCGAACCGTGAACCTCTCATTCTTCCGGTTCGTTATCCGGTCCAATTTTCAAAACCTTGGGTTTATCCTTATTGCATGTGTGAACTAGAATATAGCAGCCAGGGTAGAACTTTATCCTATTTTACTTATTTATGTCATGATTTCCTTGAATATAATGTATGATAGATGTTCTTTTAATCAGGTAACACAGGTTCGTGGAAAGATTGAGAATATTGGCTTTGACTTGAGCTCTCTTCAACAAATTGTTTATGGCATGGTTAATATTTTTTTTCCTTGAGCTTTTGAATAATCTAATTTTAATATTTGAATTTATACTTGTTTGTCATTATTTCATATTCCCTTATTATTATTGCCTTAATTACACAGGATGGCAAGATGAGTATAATTGAAAAGAAGCAGGTATGTTTTAAAATAATGCATTTCTATCACAAAAAGTATTTAACATTTCTCCTCCACTCCCAAACTGCTGGAAATAAAAACAAGAACTTTATCGTTGGTGATAGAATTGATGTCGATACATCTTTTTATAAACCTTATTTGCATAATTAGGATGAGATCAAAATGCTTATTACAGAGTTGGGTTATTGGATGTGGAATGGCACAAATTATCATCATTGTCGTTAACTTTATTCAAATTTTTTGGAATTGGTAGTGTTAATCCTCATTTTTCATTTGTTCATATTGACTGTTGGCTTATGTGTTCAGTATATTCTTCACAAATCATTTTGAACAACTAGTTTTGTAATCTTAGCTCTTACTCATTGACTTTGTGATAATTTGATATTAATTTTATCAATTAATCTGACATGTATGTCAACTATCATTCATTATACATGTTCAAGCCATCTAAGTCTTTTTCAATTAAAAGCTTTTTCTTGGGGCCATCCTTTTTGTTTTTTACATTTACTTGGAGTTTCTGACCATGCTAATTAATCTCCTTTCACATTGTTCTTTTTAATTCAATCCCGCTACCTTAAACCTGAGGTTACTTGAGCGGTTTCTTTAGACCTTCCATTAGATAGTGCATATGTAATCCGAAGTTTCTCTGATCTATGACTATAAATTTGAACTTGCCCCTGGACTAATGTAATTATGTTGGCAGGCCTTTCTATGTGCTGGTATTCTACACCTCTGTAATATTTTTCCAGATAAAGATGGAAAAATGCGGGAGCTTTTGCAGGTTTGTTTTCATGTTCTGTATTCTGGCATCTGAAGTTTCTGTCTTCAAACCTTTTTTTTTTATTTGGATTTGATTTTCTTTATAATGAAGTAATATGATTGGAAACGCTAGTTGATCTCAAGTATTTCCTATCAATCTTTGGAAAACAACGAGAATTCTTCACAAAAATCTGCACAAAACCACGAAAACAGTAGATAATTTGTATTTTTTTATGAAAGGGAAACGGAAAATTGCAAGATACAATTGATCCTCCATTCGAGAGGAGGATCGATCTCTCCCAAATCTCTAGATGCTGCTATAGCCCAAAGGAAAACCTAAATCTAAGAGATCTCAAATTTCAGCCAAATTCGAACCCTAGGAAAACAAACTATTTAATTCATACAATCCAAAAGGAAATCTCTAAACAGTCCCTACATTCAAATTTCCCTCCTAACTCCCTAAAAAATCCTTCCTAAAAGGCTTGGGTGGCGTGGTCGGTGCGAACCCGCTGGACCGGTCCATTATTGGACTGGTCTAACATAATATATCTCTTGTATTTATTAACCTTGATGAAAATTTTAGATTACTGTAGGGGTGTCAATTATTGACCCGACCCGATAACCCGACCCGAAAAATCCGGGTTAGGGTCGACCCGTTTAACAAACGGGTCGGGTTCGGGTCTCAAAATTTGACCTGTTTAAAAAATGGGTCGGGTCCGGGTCAACCCGGTAACCCGAAATTGACCCGGGATTGACCTGGTAACCCGCTCATTTTTTACTTTTCCCGCGTGGGACTGGGAGCCTGGGAGGGAAATAAACAGGGTTCGAGTCTCAACGAGGGATTGGATCGGACATCAGTCACGTACTCACGTCGCCTGGCCAGCTGACAGCTGTCTGCGTCAACAGCTCGTCGCAATCGACGTCGCACCGCCTACTGGCCTACGAGGCTACGACGCCTAAGTCCACTATCCGCACCGGCGTCGCACCACCTCAGCCAGTCAGCCCCTGCCTCGCGCTGACGTCTGTCTGTTCGGCGTGCAAGTGTGCAACATCCCGTGCAACTGGCGTCCGACATTGCGGCGTGCAACATCCTGTCACGAACTCACTGCTCACGCGGGTCAGTTGAGACGGTGTAGTCGAGTACTCGAGTCCGCACCGACCGGCGACCAGCGACCCCGTGCAGCCAGCGTCTCCGGCACCGCCTCACACTCGTCATCTCGCCCCGTTTTTTGAATCAAACGAGTCTGCGGGTCGGGTTGGGTCGGGTCAACCCGGGAACCTGTGCGGGTCGGGTCCGGGTTTAATTTCCTGGCCCACTTAGCTAAACGGGGCGGGTTCGGGTTGACCCGTTTACACTCGGGTCAAGTCGGGTTTGACCCGAACCCGACCCGTCGACCCGAATTGACACCCCTAGATACAACAAGATTGCTTTTAATTTTGGCATTCCATACCAACCTAAAAACTAGGATGCATGATCAGTTTATCTAGGATTGAAGTGTCAATAAAAAAAAAAGTGTCAATTATTGTACTGTGCTACTTCTTTCCTTTTTGCTCTGAACTAATGCTTGTTTTTTTGTGTTCCGTATTTATGTTCCTCTCATATGAGTGTTCAATTTCTAGAACTGAGCGTCTGCTATGACTGATTAGATGAAAAACCTTGTGTAACTGAGATTACTGCTGATCGTGAAAAATTTCTTGTATCATTGGTGGCCTTAAATATGACAAATTCTGCAGATGTTATATTGAGGATTTTGGGTCTAATAAGATGTATTTAATGCATTTTCATGTTATTTGAAGTGACTTTAGTACAATACTCCCTTTTAACATTTCTCTGAGCAAATCAATCATTTCAACGAGAAAATTTGTGTTCTAGTATATTTCACTTGAGACATATTATCATTTATAATGTAAAATTCATTTTTGTTCATCTTCAATATAAATAAACTTAAAATGCTATGAAGGAATGGGTCAGAACTTAACATGTTCAAAGCATAGAGGCTTTGCTTCACTTCGGGGTATCCAAAGCTCACAATTTAGGTTTTGTTTGGGACAGATTTTTTGCTTCTTCTTCTTAAAGCAGCTCTATAGTACAAAAATTAAAATTTCTATACTAAAAAGTTATTTTAAAAAACAGTAAGAAATCTGTCCCAAACGAAGCCTTAGCCTTAGAACTCCACTCATTATTGTCTATGCGTAATAAGAGAACTCACATCCTACCCCTTGATAGAAGCATGTTTCAGCCTTTAATTTATAAATGTCCTTATTTTTTAGTATTTCTGTTTATGTTGCAGTGTATATCTTTAAAGCACATGTTTACTTTTATAGTTTTTCAAATTAGTTGACATCACAAAGCTGTTAAATTACTTATATATTCTCTTTTTTAAAATTTTTCTCTTCTGCTCTTATTATTATCTTCTCTTGCATAAAATTCTTTTTGCTAACGGTAATAATTCAGGATGGGCCAAAGCGTTCTAATTTGCGTGGTTACCTAGGACCTGCAGAAGAATCTCGAGATTTAAAGGTTTGTTCTTGAGTTATCCAGGCATTCATTGATACTTGATTAATTTCTTATGCTTTATTACACTTCTATCTTTTTCTTCCTCCTTTTAGGGCCTAAAACATATTTTAGAAGCTCTTAACTCAGAAAGCCTGGATAGCGCCAATTTGGAGGGGTTATTACCAAATAATTCTGATTCATTGGAGACTGTAAAGGATTTGTCGAGGTTTTGAACTTAGACACTTAATTTGTTAGATATTTTGCTTACTCGCTCATTCTTACAACACAAGCTTAATTACTGTTCCAATGGCCTAGATATGGTAATTACTTGCTTCATCATCACCTGCCTTGTTCCAGTTATTAGTATATCTTAAAGCACATTTTATTTTTCTAATTATTTCATCTCCAATGGGCGCTATTCCCACCATGCCTTTCTATAATCAAGTTTTATGCATTTTCATGTTCATATAATAAGGATAATCTTCTTATTGCATACATTTATGTTAATATTCTCATTTCTAGATGAATCTAGAGCCCAAGGCACCAAGAAAAAACTCTAAGAGAACACAATAATCAAGCATAACCCTAACCATAATTTCTCCATCATACTTAGACATACAATTAATCATTATCATTTAAAAAAAAAATACAATTACTCATTAAAGTAAAAAAAAATCAATTAATCATTAGAACAAAAAGACCCAAAAGCCCTTGCCGCCCCCTTTGGCTCTAAATTTTGAATTTGAATCTCTAGTGAATACCACCTAATACTTCTCTTTTTCTTGCCCCCCCCCCCCCTTCTCCTGTATATATGAACCGGCCCCTTAAAAGGGACCGGTTTGACCGGCCCATAGTGGACAGGTCTAACACATTTTTACATATATTTTCTCCTTGAGCTCTGTTTGGTTTGAAGGAATTGGGAATAGTGAAAATACATATTGCTTTGCAATTTTGTATTGGGTGTTTGATTCCAATTCAATTAAGAAGAAATGTGAACAGTTGCATATTCTTACTTACAAATTCATATCAATTTATGTTGCCTTGACTTATGATAAACAAAAACCCAATTTCTTCTAACCAAACTTGAAATAAGTTTGAAAAATAAAAATTTTGTTCACTCTTTTTTTTTTTTCCTCTCAAACAAACATGAAGGCAAACCAACTTTAAATTCAATTCTTTCATCATTTTCATTACAATCTCTCTTGCAACTTCTTCAAACCAAACAGAGCTTTAATATTCACCAAATCAATGCTCTTGATTCTGTATTGTTCATCTTTTCATGATTATCAACTGAAGATATTGTCATGCTTCTTAGAAGACTAACTTAAGCTTCATTTGAGACGGCTTTCTTAATTATTCCTTAAGCAGCTTTTTAGTCTAAGAATTTTAATTTTTAAACTAGAAAGTTGTTTTAAGAATCAATAAAAGATGATTTTCTTACTATTTTTTAAAACAACTTTCTAGTACAAAAATTTCATTTGGGGCAGCTTTCTTATTGCTTCTTAAAGCAATTTTTTAGTACAAAAATCAAAAAATTGCTTTAAGAAGCAGTAAGAAAGCCGTCTCAAATGAAGCCTAAATCTTAACAACTAATCATTAGAAGTTATTTCTTTGCAGGACACCTCCGATTAAGGGTTGAACGAGGCTCTGTATGAAAAGATTGTCATAAACCCCAGAAATATGTCTTTCTTTCTTCTTATTGCATATATTAGAGGATAATACTGAACCAGATCTGTGAACTTTGCAAATCTGTGCTGTGAAAAGAAGAAGAAAAAGACCTTCTACAGTTCAGAAGAGTTTGTTTTAATTTGTTTCAGAATATTTATGTGGCTCTGAATTCACTCTATTTTGTACTTATTCCCTCTTGTTGATGCCATGTTATTGATTAAATAAGGCTTGGAACCTTTTATATATATAAATTTTTTTAATATTATTTATCAGTTCATAGAATCTATGCCATCCATTTTTATAAATTATTTGGGAGGTCTAAATTTTTTTAATTTTGGAAGATTTAAATTATATTTTATTATTTTTTATTGTAATAAAATAGGATATTAATTTTTGTAATTATACTTTATTGGCTCATGAGGCTTTTTTAAAATTGTCTAGATTTGAAAATGATATATAAACAAAATAATGTTTTGTAATTTTAAATTTATTGGATAAAATTCTCTTCAAGAACTCATTTTTTTATTTCTCATAATTTTTATGCCCCCAATAACTCAAAATATGCTAAATTAAAGTCAAATGTAGATAAATATTTTTTTGCTATGAGCAATAAAATAAAAAATATCACAATTTTATAATCACATTCAAATTTCAAAAAAAAAATATCCAATTAGTTTTTACATCAATGTTTTTTCTTATTTTTTTAAATAGATTTTTTAGTACAATATTTTTACCTCAAATTAGAACTAAAAAATTGTTTTAAAAAATAATAAGAAAAGCGTTCCCAATGAAACTTTGGATGCATTAAAGGCAAAATATGTATCACATAAATTATTTATTTATTTGTGAAATGTTATGATGATAAAAATTATTTATTTATTGTAAATTTATGAGAGAAAATTATTATTTAAAGAATGACATCACTGTGATAATTGTTAGTTTAATTAGCCTGAATTATTTTTAGTTATCCTAAACTTAAAACTTCTTATCCTTCAGTTGGTTATTTTTATTTTATAACGCTCTAAAATATATTTCTAATGTACATTTTTCACTAAGTATATATTCAAAGAGACTTTGGGATTTTCTAAATTTGTTTTAGCTGATCCACTTCTTAACAATGGTCGTCAACTAGTTGACTAGCCAAAACTCGGTTAATTTTTTCTCAGCATCATCACTACTTTTCCCAAACTTTGGAAGGAGACTTCAATTTATGGGTTTTTTTTTTTTCATTCAAGCTCATCTTGCTTTTATGTTGAATTTTGTTTTATTTTTATTTTATATATAAATATATATATATATTATATATAATATTATATATAAAATATATATATATATTATATATATATATAAATATATATATATTATATATATTATATATATATATATCCTCCAAAAACAAATAGTTATCGGTTACATAAACTCTTCAGCATTGACTCATATGAAAGGGTGTAAACGAGTCGTAGTGAGTCAAGCTTTGGTCCTATCAGCTTAGCTCGTCAATTCGGAAAAGCGAGCTCGAACTCGAGCTCGCTCCAACTATAAACGAGCATCTCGGGAGCATGCTCACGATATTCATTTAAAAATATTTCAATACTTTAATTTTTATTAAAATTTTAACATTATTATAATTTTAAACATTAAATATTAATTTATTTATATGTATTAAATATTTAAATATTCATTGTTATATGTTTTAAAATATTTATATTTTGATAAATAATATTTTTAAAATATTAATAAATATTCGAGCTGGCTCGCAAGCTCACAAGCCTAGCCTAATCAAGCTCTAGCTTGAGCTCGTTTATTAAACAAGCTCGAGTTCGAACTCGATCTCGACTTGTGAGCTCGATAAGCTCGACTTGCAAACCTATAAACTAGTCGAGCTCGAGCAGGCTCACGAGCTGGCTTGGCTCACCTACACCCCTACTCATATGATGATGAATGTCCCTCAATATGACAATATGATTGTGGGCTCCGAAAATTCGGCCCCGGTCTCTGCCCGCACTAATTTGTGCTTTTATTTTCGACGAGGGAGTTCTAACGGAATTAAGTTCCTGGCTAAATTTTGGAAGGCATATGGTTTGTATATAAGACACTACCCAGAGATTTTGCCCTCATTTTGTGAGGACTTTATGATATGAGTTATTGTTTCCTATAGGCGCAAGCCCCTATAGTTAATTACCCCTCCCGATCACGAGAGAGAACTTTCGATTAAGGCTAGTCGTCGATCATATACGCATAGAATACGTGTTATCTGGCATATAGTAGTAGCATGGTTTTGGATTTGGGATTAGATTTGAAGTTGGGATTTGAAGATTTGGGTTGCGATATTTGAAAAAATTTGATATTTAAAATTAGAAATTTCACCACATTGCACTTAAAGCAGATGGTGGAGGAATAGATGATAGGCCCGATCAAGATCCCTTGGTTCTGTCGTCCCAGGCCATCATGGTCCCTGGTCTACTTAGTCAGAGGAGATAGTTGACCCAACTTGACAGAAGGATCCTTGTCGGCAGCCATGGGTTGTTTCGTCTAAGGGTACCTTGTAAACTTGGGGTGAATGTTTGTCTAATGGAACAAATTTGAATCCACCTTAGCTAACATAGGGCTTTGTGCCCTATCGATCATATCATATTAATTTATATCTCAAGTATTTGATGCAAATAAGGAACGTATTGGCTCTGGCCATAATCGGTATTTCGTGGTCCCATTTGGCGGTAAAATCACACGGTTTAGAGGGTCCCGGGTCATAATCGTTTAGCATGCGGTGTTATTTGGAGGCAAAATAGCCTGTCAAAGGACACGTACCACGTCCTTACTGGCAGGAGATTATTTGAGAATGGATCCTAGTTATATTTTCGACTATGCAATAGCTCCATGTGAGCTAAAGTAAATTTCAATTTGTCCACCCCGGTAAACTGCTGTAGATAGTGGATAGATTTTGCTTTAAGTGTTTCATGATTGGATTTCAATTTTAAATATTTTTGAATTTTTAGAATTTTTGGATTTTTGTGGGTATTTGGGATAGGATTTGAAAATATTTGTAAACCCCTCTGGTTGAGATAAACATTCAACACGGCCATCATTGAGGTATGGAGTCAATCATTGACTAAACCTTGTCGACCCTATCAACTTGTCGATAGGAAATCAGGTTTCATAGGTTTCATGTCTTTGTTAGTGAATTCTCATTGTTATAGGCCTTGAAGGCATAATATGAATGTATTAAAACAAATATATCGGTCGTCACAATCGTATATTTGTTTGATGGTTTGAACCCTGTCGACTCCTACTGATCCACATAGAAGGATCGGGCTTGAACTTGAATTCACTTATTGACCAGCGTAGCATCCATAGATGTCACGTGTGTACCAATAACACGCTCGCCGGGGCCCATGTGGGTGTTTGGGGGCATTTTGTAATTATTTATTGAACCTTGTCGACTCCTATTTACCCGCTTAGGAGGATCTGGTTCAAATTTATTGACCCGTGCAGCATCCCTAGACGTCACATGTGTACCAATAACATGCTTGTCGGGGCCCATGCAGGTTTTATGATTGCTTTTACCCCTTTTGGTGTACCTATATGTATACAAACTACGGTGCACTTGCGGGGGTACTTTGAAATCATTTGTAAATGTCTTATGTCCGCTTGCATAGAAGTTGCGAATCTGGTGGCGTGTGCGTAGCAGCTTCTGTATTGAATTATTTGCTGCTTTATACAGGAAGACTGTCGTACACTACTCATTGCTTTCTGCATGCAGATTGTAGTGTACTAACAAATCTCCTGCTTCATGTTTGTTAATGCTTGCATTCATTGTAGATATTTGGTATTTATTTGTAGATTGTATATGATATTCATAGCGGAGCTCCAACAGAAGCTCATGGGAGCTTGTATCTGTCATATTCTTCATGCACTTTTGTTGTGGTTTTTGGCTCATGTAGTATATTCGTCACTATTACAAGTGTGCAGGTAGATGTATTCCTTTACAGACTAAAATTAACTTCAGGATACTGCATTTACTGAGTCTTTCTGTATTTACCCACAAACAGCATGTAGTACATACATCTATATTTATAGGGAGATTGTATGTATTGCAGATCTTCTACCCTTGCTTGTAGAGGTTCAATATATTTTGCTTGATGTTGAATGATGGTTGACTACAAGAGCATTGCAATATTCACTGGCTCTTGCTACGTAGTTTGTAGGTGCTAGCATTCATTGTAGTATCATCAATCTTTGTTTATAACGGATTAACTTATTTTCTCGACATTGGACAGTGATTGGTTGTAAAGGTGTTGTGACATTCGTCACCATCACTTGAGTTGTATTGCTTGCATGAAATTCATTTGAATGAAATCACTTCAAGCAAATTACATTGAAGCCCACAAGTCCTTGTAGATATGTTTGCATAGTTGACATTTGCTTGTGTGGTATTTATTGAGATACAATTGAATGATTAGAATCATTATTTTGTTTGTTTGACTTCTTGTTAACATAAATCATAAGATGTGGCATTTAGTGACTTGCACGAACCTTCTAAAACCACCACTTTCTTTCTAAACTCTTCAAGCTTCATATTTGTATCCAATAAAGAGATCTTCATAGCTCTATTTTATGAATTTTAATTAAGCTGCACATCTCTTTTAACTTCATCAAGTGATATGTATAAGCAAGCCATATTGATGTCTTGCCCATCATTGATTTTTCACTTGAAGCATGAATGATCATAATTATCATTCAATATTTGCATCTTCATCATACTCATGCAATCATAGTTTCATTTGCACAATCGGGTTCACACTTAAGTTAGAGTTGGAGTCCTTTGCGGTCAAGTTGCAAGTCTTCTATGTCATATGAAAATGACTTAGATTATGCATGATAGAGTTGCTTAATGACATTTCATTCCTTAATATTCATTGAAAACTTTGTATCGTTAAGTGTAAACATGTCATAGCATTTTCCATTTTATCTTTATTTGTATGATTAAAGTTCTCATCTTGTTAAAATGCAATAATAATTTTCATTTTGTCTTTCCTTTGTTCAATGTCAAGTTTAAATTGTCTAAATCTTGTCCAAGTCCCCTGTAGTCCAACTCAAGTCTTGGCTTGAGTTTAAATGTTCAAGTCATGTTAGCTTAATGTTCAAATCAAGACCAACTTGAGTTCGGTTTCATGTTCACTGCGGTCTCGAATCGAGTCCTCTTGCACTTTGTCAAAATGTTCAAATTTTTATTCATCTCATTTATTTGCAAGTTTAGTTATTGTTTAAATTG